AGAGTCTCTGTAATGGTGTTTTTTTGGGGGGGGGGGGGGGGTTACCATCATGGTAACAAGAAAAGTATAGCTTGGTTTGAGAACAAATACAAATGCTTTAAGTTGCCGTATTCAGCAATTGATATGCTATATATGCTAATGCTATCGAAGCATTGTGTTACAAATAAGTAAGTTAGCATATACTGAATTAGCTCGTTAAAGCTAGCCAAGTTTCCACTACTAAAAATATTTAAGTTGAGATCACATGATAATTTTAAGTTAAATGACTGAATTAGCTTACTCAAATATTTCAAGTTAAGAGTAATTAAAATGTGTGAGTACAAGATAAAAATCTGCAAGTTCTGCTTAAACTTTGAATGTATTAACTTAACAATTTTGATTTAACTGATTACCTAAAAATAGTTTTTCCAACTTTTTCGGGTTTGCTAACTTTTTTATTTTCGACTGAAGGTACTGTAAACGGTTCTATTTTTTTTCTAACTATTGTTTTATTATGTCAGGCTTTACAGGGGTAAGATATCAAAATTGACTCAAATGTACATTCTTAAAGGGATAGTCCATCCAAAAATTAAAATTCTGTCATTATGTTGTTCTTTTTTTTCTTCTTCTGCGAAACACAAAAGAAGATAATTTGGGGGAAAAATTGGGAACCAAACAACACTGGAGGCCATTGACTTTTATTGAATGGTTAAAAAAATATATATAATGATTTGCTTTTCTGCTGAAACAACTTTCCTTTTCTGCTAAGATACTACTTGTGCCATGCAGTTAACTGAAAAATGTTAAACAATTAGCGAATAGCTATCTAGGCATTGTTTTAGCATTTGACCATGGCTCCATTCTGCGTGTAAGTATAATCCATTTACAACATCCAATCAGTTTTCAATAGATATAATCATGTTTTATATATATTTTTTAATTATCGTTGACTAAAAAATGTTCAATGCCTGAGATTCCTTATAAAAAAAATTTTACAATTTTTTTTAAGGTATTGACCAAATTGGTTTAGAAGGCCTAGACGAAGTCCTGAGATGTCCATTTGTGAGATGATTCCATAACACTCTGCCTCACTCTAGAGTTGAAAACTTGGCAGACTCCGGAGAACTTCTGAGGAGAACCATCCATCAGTCATAGTTAGGACTAATGATGTGTCCATTTTGACACTTCAGAATCAGTCACGGCAAATTGCTCTGTCGGGAGGGAAAACATTGAGAGAGATAGCCTCGCCTTGATATAATTTGTCGCTGCAAATGACAAAACAGAGCAGAGAATAATATGTGAAGTCAAGTTTAGTGAGAGAGAAAATGGAAAAATTTAGGGTTGTGAGGCACCTTAATGGATATCCTTGCAGCTAGATGAAAATGGGCTCGAGTAATGTGTCCTTAATGTGAGCCAGCCGGGTTTCTCGGAGTGTATCAAGAGAAAGGTGCCCTGTCATTTCGGCTAGCAATCACTTAATGGGGGCGGTAAATCTCAACAAAATGGACATGCACTGTGCTATTCCTGGCTTCAGCAGATGGAGTGAGTGATTGGCTCTGGTGAAAAGGAAAAAAAATAAAACAACGGAGAGGAAAAGTAAGTTGGAAAAAAAACAAAGAGGACGCAAAGAGCAAAAAAAGCAATCTCTTCCGTCTGGGGTCTGTGTGCTGTTTGTGTTTTGCAAAAGTGCAGAGACAGTGACAGGAATTTCAATTATCTAATTACGGCAAAATGAAAAGACATAAATGTTGTGATTTCTGCTGTCTTTCATAGATCAATCTAATGTGCGCTCACATTGAAAATCCAGCAAAATGGAAGAGGCAAAGTGAGGCAGCGTCTCTTCAAATCATGCAATTAAAATGACAAATTAGTTTCTTGATATATTCATCTAAGTGGTTAAGTGGAAGGGTTTTATTCCATACTCAGTGCCGTCGAGCAGGGATGGGAGGGAGAATCGTCTGCATGCTCTTTTGATTAAGGCAGCCGCTTAAATGCTGGGAAAATGTTGAAAGCACTTGCCATACAAATTAGCCAACCGAAGGCTGCGGAATGAAATTCTAAAGAGTTGATTTAGGCATTTAGGGGGGATGCGCCTGGCAGCTTAAAGGATTCAAAGACATTTCTCAGGCAGTGTGCATTATGTTGGAGGGGTCAGGGCTGAAACTGGTTCTTGTTTTGCTCCATTATGAAAGGGCAAACCACTGAAAGGGAGACACTGGAAACAGAAATTATTTCAATATCCGTTTTTGACCCAAAAGTAAACTGGAAGAGTTATTAGCTGAATATGGTAAAGATAATTCATGAACTAATTATCTATCTATCTATCTATCTATCTATCTATCTATCTATCTATCTATCTATCTATCTATCTATCTATCTATCTATCTATCTATCTATCTATCTATCTGTCTGTCTGTCTCTGTGTGTGTCTATCTGTCTGTCTGTAATCCCATCTGTCTGTCTATCTATCTGTCTGTCTGTCTATGTGTGTGTCTATCTATCTGTCTGTAATCCCATCTGTCTATCTATCTGTCTGTCTGTCTACCTATCTCTGTCGTCTGTCTGTCTTTGTAACCCCCCCCCCCCCCCCCCGTCTATCTGTATGTCTGTCTATCTATCTATCTGTCTGTCTGTCTGTCTCTGTGTGTGTCTATCTATCTGTCTGTCTGTAATCCCATCTGTCTGTCTATCTAACTGTCTGTCTGTCTGTCTGTGTCTATCTATCTGTCTGTAATCCCATCTGTCTATCTATCTATCTGTCTGTCTGTCTACCTATCTCTGCCGTCTGTCTGTCTTTGTAACCCCCCCCCCCCCGTCTATCTGTCTGTTTGTCTGTCTGTCTATCTATCTATCTATCTATCTATCTATCTATCTATCTATCTATCTATCTATCTATCTATCTATCTATCTATCTATCTATCTGTCTGTCTGTCTATGTGTGTGTCTATCTATCTGTCTGTAATCCCATCTGTCTATCTGTCTGTCTGTCTACCTATCTCTGTCGTCTGTCTGTCTTTGTAACCCCCGTCTATCTGTCTGTCTGTCTGTCTGTCTGTCTGTCTGTCTATCTATCTATCTATCTATCTATCTATCTATCTATCTATCTATCTATCTATCTATCTATCTATCTGTCTGTCTGTCTGTCTGTCTGTCTGTCTCTGTGTGTGTCTATCTATCTGTCTGTCTATCTATCTGTCTGTCTGTCTGTCTGTCTGTCTGTCTATGTGTGTGTCTATCTATCTGTCTGTAATCCCATCTGTCTATCTATCTATCTGTCTGTCTGTCTACCTATCTCTGTCGTCTGTCTGTCTTTGTAACCCCCCCCCCCCCCCCCCGTCTATCTGTCTGTCTGTCTATCTATCTATCTGTCTATCTATCTATCTATCTATCTATCTATCTATCTATCTATCTATCTATCTATCTATCTATCTGTCTGTCTGTCTATGTGTGTGTCTATCTATCTGTCTGTAATCCCATCTGTCTATCTACCTATCTCTGTCGTCTGTCTGTCTTTGTAACCCCCCTGTCTGTCCATCTATCTATCTATCTATCTATCTATCTATCTATCTATCTATCTATCTATCTATCTATCTATCTATCTATCTATCTATCTATCTATCTATCTATCTATCTATCTATCTATCTGTCTGTCTCTGTGTGCGTCTATCTATCTGTCTGTCATCCCATCTGTCTATCTATCTATCTATCTGTCTGTCTGTCTGTGTGTTTATCTATCTGTCTGTAATCCCATCTGTCTGTCTGTCTATCTATCTGTCTGTCTACCAATCTCTGTCGTCTGTCTGTCTTTGTAACCCCCCCTGTCTGTCTGTCTGTCTGTCTATCTATCTATCTATTCATTCTATATCTGTCTTTGCATACCGTAGAAAAGACAGCAGTGAAAATAAATGCATGCAATAGGATTGGGGTTGAGGTTAGCTCTAGTGGCATTGCATTTTTGTCATCTGTCATGTAACTGGCGCACAAAGGTACCGAGAATCCCCTGCAAGTCTGTTAGGAATATTCTTTTTCTGTGCATCCACAGAGTAGCTACATTTGTTATCATTAATGTTTGCTTTAATACACATGTCATAACAAATTCATCCTCTGAAAAGCCAGCTGCATTGGAGAAAGAAATGCTTCACTCATATTGTCCACTTTGATAGCTCAGAATGATATCAAATGCCCCTCTGCTGCCTCAGTTGAAATGGAACAAAATAGGCGGTGGTCTATAAAAATGAAGTTAGACGTAAGTACGGCACTCACATCTTTGAAAAAAACCCTTTCCTGTTGCATTTTGTAGTCGTCAATTGGTCAGAGCAACTTGCTCTAATGCAGGTAATGGATCCACTGTGGTCCTTTCATCTTCGGGACCATGTGCGGGAGATGGGAGAGGAACCCTTCTGGAGGAGAAAACAACTCTAACACACATAAGGGCGAGGGAAAGCAAACCTAAACTAATTCTCAATAGCGCGGTTCGACTGAAATGTTAAGGAAATCGGAGATGTTTTAGCATATTGCATAGATCTGTGAAAGCCTCAGAAAGCTGGATGAATGATGGTTTGGTTATTCATATTTCATCTATAATACTCAAGTATTTTTAAGAGACCATTTACATTTATCCATTCAGCAGATTCTTTTATCCAAAGCAGCATGCCTGTAATTGTATTTAGTTTTTCTTGTATTGTCACTTTAATGTAGAACTCCCCAGTCCACAACCTTTTGATATCCCACTGTGGATCTTTTAAATGTGAGGTTCATATAAAAGAAAGCACAATTTCATATGTCTAGATTGGTAGCAGAACATGAAAGCACACACAAAAAAATTCTAATTTTGTTCGGAGAATTTAATTGTTCCATGCTAGGCCCAACAGCAATCCAGATTTTCCGCTCGGCCTCTTCCCAACTATAGGGTGGTTAGCGGCGCCCGCTCAATGGAAAGCCTCCAGTCATCAGGATTTGTAGATAGTTCTGTTTCTTCAGCAGATTCCAAAATCACAAAACTATAGCCCTAGCTGATTGGCTGTGTTTTTGCCTGTTCTTTTGTTTCAGAGCTCTGCTTGGTCTTTCCCGTTCTCTCTATTCACCCGCTAAACGCTAGTGCTAAGAGCTGCTGGAAAGCTGCCTGTACTGCCATTATAGGGCCCTGGCGTATTTTATTTAGACTTTATTAAGGGGTTTGATAAAGGTAAGTGTGACTACTTTTAATAGCTAGATTATCGGATTGTTTGTTGGAATAGTGGACCTTTGGTGACAGATTTGTTTGTGTTTGACTGTTTTTGGCTTTTCTGGCTTCCATCAATATACATTTGGGAAAACCCTCCAAGAATATAAGACAACATTAATATCTGTCAGATGTAATATAATAATGTAGTGTTGACTCTAAAATAGCTGCTCAGATAACTAGATAAATATATTTCAAAAGAGGTCTAAAAAATGTATTATTTGATTAAATTGAGTTTTTAAAAGGCCTATTTATTTAAATATTGTATTATTATTATTAAAACACTGTCAATTTCAGAACCTTTCTGCATAAACAAAGTGTTACCCAAATTTAGAAAATGTGTCAAATAAAAAAATGTATGCTATGTTTTATAATGGTGATTTTATAAGTTTCATTTACTATACTATGTAACTTTTTTGTTCAAAATTTACAAATAATTTATAATGAGCGAGTACATCATGAATCCATCTTCTAAACGGTGTTTTTGTCTTATCCTGAATCATACAGTACGCCTAGCCTATAATAAAGTGTTTATATTCGGACTACTTTAGACCGAGCTGGATGACAACTGCTGCGGAGTAGCCCAGTACCTGCGTGATTCGTCATAGACATTTATAAACAGAGAGAAGAGCTGTGTCCCAATTCAGGGGCTGCATCCTCTTTTTTTTTTCAAGGAGCTGCATCCTGCGTCACACCGGCACGACGAAGGCTTTCTCAATTCGAAGGATTCTTCCCGATCCTTCAAATGCGGCCTACCGTTAGTGTTGCCAAGTCCGACGTTTTCCCGATCCCACACCCCCAAAACATTAGCCTGACTTCGTCATACTCATATTCTAGTCAGAATGTGAGTCTGATACTGCTCCATAGGGCTTTGATTATGAGCCGTGTCTTAACCGAACCAGGAGAAGAAGAAAAAAAACCTGCACTCAATTGGATAGACCTACAACCAATCAGAGCAACGCTGAGCTACGCATAGTTGTCAACAGAACTCAACTCACCACGCACGCTGGAAGAAGTAGTAAAATAATGAGTGTTGCTTCTTTTACTTGGTCCTCCATGAGTCCTACCAAAGGAGAAACCACAACGACCACAGGGTTTTGCAACTTTTGCCGAATCCCGTAGGAAGGACGAAAAAAACACATCTTTCCTATCGACAAATGCCTTGATTGCAGTTCTCTGTTCGTCTTTTAAAATGAATGCGCTGTCGATTTATTTTACAACAGACGCGAGAGCGGAATCTATACATCTCAATTCTCCAGCTGGAGTCAACTTTGAGGGAAACCAGTTTAACCCAAGCGCTCTTTGATAACGTGATCATCTGTCCATCATCGTATAAAAGCCCCACCCTGGCAATTTGATTGGCCCGACGATTTCTTAACCGATCATAAATACTCCTCAATGGATCGAGTCCAGACCGAACTTCCCGTCCAAAAAATGTTGTGGGCGGGGTTATGGGCTGGCATCCAGGCTCAGTAGCACCTCATTGCAGTACATGAGATCCAGGGGGCGGAGTTGGATCCAGATCTAAGGGGTGGAGATGGGTAGGATTAGGGGTGGGGTTAGGGATCAGGGGGCGGAGATGGGTAGGTTTAGGTATATGTAAGGTGGGAGGAGTTGGATCTGGATTTCGTGTTCTGCAGTGAGGACCATCTCTCCAGGCTAACAAAACATCCCTCATATTCCAACGCTATCTCACGACCAATTCGTACTAATTTGTACGAATGATTAAAAGGTGGCTAATTCGTACGAATTCATACGAACTCACTCGTACGGATTCGTACGATTTGTCTAAACCCACGTGATGGGTAGGTTTAGGGGCGGGGTCAGGGGTAGGTCATTCGTATGAATTCATACGAATTTGGAATTCGTAAAATATGTACGATTTAGCAAAAATCCTACAAATTCGAACAAATTCATACGAGTCAGGTCGTATGAATTGTTACGAATTAGCCACTCGTACAAATTAGTACGAATTGCTCGTGAGATCGGGTTGCATATTCACAAATCCTGCGGAGATTTCGGATGCCTGATGGAGAAAAGCCAATGGTCTTTTTGGGCTACTTTTGTTGCACAGACCTGGCAACCCTGCCTACCGTCCTTCTTTCCCCGGGCCACAAAAAGGATAGAACGAGGAACCAGCAGCAGCCAAGAGAAAACAAGACCGAAAGAATGAGCTGATTGAGATATTTAGGGAGGACATGAAGTTTCTGAGAGAGACAGAAGATGAATGTTGATGAGATCACAGGAGAGCAGGGAGAAAATGGACAGATTGGTAGAGAAATAAACGTTTGGTCATGTGAATTAAAATTAGTAAATGAAACAATCGTATGCATTACTTTTAAAAGTTATAGGCTATTTGTAAATGAAACAAAAAATTATTTCTTTGAATTCAATTTTTCCGATTTATTTTTGTAATGCAAGTTATAACTTGTAAATGTAATAAATAAATTATTCTGTAGGCTACATTTTTTTTTTCATGTAAATTAATTTGTAAATGAAACAAAATAAAATTGTTCTATAGGCTACATTTTTACTTAAGGTACTTTTTACAAGTGTTTACAAGATAAGTTACTTTTAGATAAGAAAAACAGAATACAAATTTGAATTAACAGTATACATAAAACAGATATGAAGAAAACATTTTTCTGTAGACCTTTATTGAGCTGAGTAAGGATCTGGTGGTGCATATTTGGGATGAGTGCATATTTCCACTGTCTATAACAGCTTTGCAGGGCTGACTCAGGCGTGGGCTGCCAATCACTGTTCTCAGAAAGAGGGAAGAATAAATGAAATTATCTCACATAGCCTACTCAAAAATCAAATCATAAATTATTTTAACATGCAAAACTGTCCTATGAGCTAAACTCAGCACTAGACCTATAGACATATTTTTAGTGTTTCTGTTATACTGTTGTTCATTTAAACAATATCTAATATCAAAATCTAATAACCATGAGTAAAAATAGTTCCCTTTGAGATGAAGTCGAGTTGAATAACAATCTAAACTTCCTACTTAAATACAGAGTAAATGTATTTCGTTACATTCCACCACTGGTTATTTGGAAAATGACACTAACAAAATGTATTGTAAATTTTATAAATTGTTAATTTATGTGGGCTACATAGTAAAGTCTAAAAGAGTATAAACCAGCTTATATAAAATCACATGCTAGTAACAAGACAACATTTTAACCTTTATTATAAATTTTTCCTTCTTTTGTATCATTAGATAGGCTACATTAGATTACTCGATTACCGGTAAACTGAAATCCAATAGGCCTACTTTTGCCTAAATCCAAAGTGTAATTTGGCCATTTCGTCTCCGGCGCGCAGTGAATTCTGGGTAGGCAAGGCTGCGAAGGAACCTCCTGATGTATCCTGCATTCACGGGAAAAGAAGGACGCATTTGCAGGCCACATTTTGAAGGAGCCTTCGAAGGGCCTTCGAATTGGGACCGCCTTCTCTGCTACCATAGACAGTAAAAGAAATGGACACAGCGACCCCATAGACTTCAACGTAGAAAAGTGAAGTCAATTAGAAGCACTCACTTCCTGATTGCCAAGCGTACTGCGCAGGCTCAAACTGAGCTTGACGACGTAGATGTGACGTGAGCAACTTGTACGTCTTCTAGTAGCGGCGCCAAGAGGAATCTGAATCATTCCCTTCCGAATCTTGCAGAGCCGGAGTTCGTGAGTATTAGCTGTCCATGAGCTAGCAGCAGGAGCAACTTTATGACACTCTATGGGCTTCTCCCTTGACTTTATGCCTCCACGTCCACCCGATTGCGCGCGAGCTTCTACTTCTGTCTATACGGTAATTTATCTACTGTGCGACAGAGAGTCGCGTGTTATGACGCAATCGTTAGCCTATTTTTACAAAAATGGCTTCTACGGGGCCATAACGGAAGATACAAGGTAATGGAGCCTTTTATACATTCTCGTGTTTCTTTAGAAATAAACAATGGACAAATGGAGTCTTTAAACGCCTCAGATGTAAAGTTATTCGCTGTCAAAGTGACGCAAAAATGAATGGGAGTCAATGGGATGCTAACAGCAGGTGATGGCTTGTTAGCCAATGGCGGCCCCCGGGGAGACTTCAGTTTCCGGCTGGTGGATTACCCCCTTGTCTGCTACTCTGCTAACAGTCGCGCCGCGGTGACGCAATCGGCTATACTTTCCCCTTTAAATGAGTCTCGGTGCGTCCTTTGAAGACCGCGTCGGCCGCACCCTTCGAAGGACTCAACCTTCAAAGGATGCAGCCCTGAATTGGGACACAGCTAAGAACTCCGGCTACAATGTTCTTTCGCAAGACGCATGCAGTTTTGTTTATAGTTAAAGTTACACAGTGTCCCTTTGAAAACAAATAAAAAAAGTCATTTTCATTTAAAGTTTGAGTCACCAATCAGTATACAATTAGATGCTTCCCCCCCAACCCCAACCAATTACAACGTGGCACCCTCTACTGAATGGTGCTTTTTTTGTACCTCACTTAACCTCTATCTCGTTTTATATCTGTCAATACGATACTGGAAAAATCGCAGGCTAATGAAATATTATGTGATTATTATTTTCACATCAAGAGAATATTTTGCAAAAGGAATATAAAGCATATTCAAGAACAAACTTGATAAACCAACATGTTGCTTTTTCTCAGTGAGCATTGTCCTATTTACAATAACTAAATCTTTTCCAGCCAGTTCACCTGAAAACTGTTAGCCTTAACCTGAAAAGAAGAAAGAGAGAGTGTGAGTGAGTAGCCTCCTGATACTGACCTCTCAGCGCACTCAGAGGAAGTAATGTGTTCATTACAATGCAATTACAGACACTCACATGCTTCTGAGTGAAGTGCAGCGCTATTGAGAGGAGTCTGCACCAGTCCCTTGATGCTAACACAACCCTGACATTCATGTGTGTGTGTGTGCATTAATGCATGCGTCCCATGTGTGTTTGTTTATAAATGTGTGTGTGCTTTTGTTTTTAGTCTGTCTGTAGGTGCAGAATGTACAGCTTCATGGGAGGAGGGCTGTTTTGTGCAGGAGTGGGCAATATACTCCTGATTGTTTCCACAGCAACAGATTATTGGATGCAGTACCGTCATTCAAACAACTACATGCATCAGGGGCTGTGGAGATACTGCATGCCGGGAAAATGCTTCACACACACCGACAGCATTGGTGAGATTTACCAATGGAGTCATAAACAAACAGAAGAACAAAAACAACTAAAATTGATCAAACCTACTTTAGTTGCATCAAATGCACATTTTACTTGTGTTTTAAAGTTGTTGTTCTCTGGACCTTCAATTCCACTTTTACTTCGTTATTCATGCATTGCAAACAAGCTGGTGGTAATAACATGGCCTTTGACCGTCTGACTTCACAGCATACTGGGATGCTACACGAGCGTTCATGATCTTGTCTCTGTTGGCCTGCTTCTTTGGCATCATCATCGGTATCATGGCCTTCATCCACTACTCCTCCTTTGACAGGTTTGATAAAAGCTTTGCTGCAGGCATTCTGTTCTTCATCTCATGTAAGTTGCATTTTCTTCTGCCTATTTAATCTTGAAATATGATAACTTTTTAAGTCATCAAGTGTTTGTAACTAGTTGTTGCAAGTAATCAGAGAAATAAACATGTCAGTTATTGTCTGGACACTGTGTTATTGTTTTGCAATTATACGGATAGTTCACCCCAAAATGAAAATTCTGTCATTAATTACTCACCGTCATGTCCTTCAAAACCTTCGTTCATCTTTGGAACACAAATGAAGATCTTTTTGATGAAATCTGAGAGTTTTCTGTTCCTCCATTGACAGCTACGCAACTACCACTTTGACGCTTCAAAACGTTGATGAAGAGATTGTAAAACAAATCCATATGAATTGAGCGGTTTAGTCCAAAATTTCTGAAGAGACACGATCGCTTTATATGATCATACGCTTTTATTCACACAAACATTCATCAACTCTCACATCAGTTGTGGTGAACGGAAGCTCAAGCATGTTCTCTTGAAGTGCGAGAACCAATGAGGTTCATTCTCGTGTTATACGTTTGAGCTTCCGCGGGAACCAATGAGGGTCATTCTTGTGTTACGCAGCACGTTTGAGTTTCAGCAAGAACCAATGAGGTTCATTCTCATGTTACGCATCACATTTGAGATTCCGCAAGAACCAATGAGGTTTGTTCTCGTGTTACGCAGCACGTTTGAGCTTCAGCAAGAACCAATAAGGTACATTCAGGTACAGTTGAGCTTCTGTTTATGTTTGCTGATCAATGTTTATGTCAATAAAAGCCTAAATTAAATCTGTTCATCATATAAAGCGATTGAGTCTCTCCAGAAAATGTTGACTAAACCACTCGATTAATATGGATTCGTTTTACAATCTCGTTATGAACTTGAAGCATCAAAGTGGTAGTTGCATAGCTTTCAACGGAGGGACTGAAAGCTCTCAGATTTCATCAAAAAGAACTAAAGTCCTTCAGGTTTAGAACAACATGAGGGTGAGTAATTAATGACAGAATTGTCGTTTTTGGGTGAACTATCCCTTTAAATAAATTAACCTGCAATTTGTGGAACATGGAATTATGATGTAGTGTTAAATAAAAAATATGAAAAATACTACAGTATTAAATATTTATATTTAATCATTTTGTTAAATGTATTTATTTATTTAATCACATCCTATTTTTATTTAATCCTGCTTCTCCCCTTTTCCCCCCACAAGGCTTTTTTGTGTTTCTGGCCATGGCTGTGTACACAGGAGTTACAATAAATTACTATGGTAAACGCTATGGTAACTGGAGGTTCTCCTGGTCTTACATCATTGGCTGGGTGTCTGTTGTGCTCACTTTCTTTTCAGGTAATGATAGTCGTTAAAGTCTAAAAAAAAACCACACCTTTAAATGATCTACTTCATTTGTTTATATTTTTCACACACACACAAAAAAAAACATATGATTTAAATAGTGTACTTATACACACTCAACTAATTTGTGGTTTTATTTTTTAAATTGTTGTTGTTGAAACATCTTATTAAGGGAGGTAAATTGCTTTTGAATCAGTTTATACTGAACTAAACAACACAAACTGTTTTTTCACTTGAATGAATGTGGTTGTTTTTTGTTTTTATTTAGGTATTTTCTATATGTGTGCATACCGGATGCATGAATGCCCCAGAAGCTCGAATCCTCACTAGAAGACTGGGCTTTATTATCACCAATATTGGAAGCCAGTCTATAGCACCAAAACCCCATTAGGTCATGAAAAAAAAAAGAACAAAGAAATTTTTAAATAAAGAATTATAGATAGTATCAATGTGTGAACACTTACAATCTTTTTGTCTATATTATGAAAAACTGTACAAAACAACTGGTGGAGAATCTGAACATCAAATAAATAAAAAAAATAAAAATAACATACATCTTTCTATTTATTTCTCCTTCAATCCTTTCTTCATGTGTTTCTTTTGTTATTTCTTTCTATAAAACAATGTGGTTCTGCAATCATTCAAAGGAAATTCAATACAAAAAAAACATTGCTGTCCAGAATATAGAATATACGTGGTTTTATTTAAATAAACTTAGAAGAATGATCAGATCATTTTCGAGTTAGGTAATGGTAGCCTACTTCTTGTGTGCAAAGTAACACACTATATTTTAACATACATAAGGACTTGGCATTACACAATAAGTTAGTCTAGTGGGTAAACTGCTCTTAGTATAAGGTGCGCGAGCTAATGCCACAAGCTTCTTACAGAAAAGCACCACTTAGGTGTGACGCAGTGGCGTGCTGTCTCCCAATTTCACTTGATTAAATGGCTATTAAAAGCTGCTTAACTGCCTCTGCATGGGTGCGGATTCTATCGACTTCTCAAGTAAAGGCGATTCCATCACCATTAGTACATTTACTTTCGCATTTTGCCATAAAAGCAACTTGTTTCCCGTGATTCGTTAGCCGTGTGGAGCGCACGTGCCCGTTAATAAAAGGTTTCGATTGCAGTTGGCATACTCCAAAATCACATTACATCGTTTGAGTATAAGCATATACACTGCGCGAAATAATTTTCTTAATCGATATTTTATATTGTTTTCAGTAACAGTAAAAAATAAAATGCCTAAGCATCATTGAAACAAGATAAATTGACCGCATAAGATAGGCCTATGGGATCATTTTACTTGTTTTGAACATAAACCCCACAAAATGGTTAGTTTAAAACAAAAACATTTTATAGGAATCTCATGCTGTAGACTAGCCAACTTATAGGCTACTTTACAAATACAAACTAATAAATCAGTAAGATCATTACAGGCGTTCGTGGGAGATATGCTCATTAAATGACTAGAAACTCATTCAAACTGAGCAACTCCTCTCCTATTGTAATTTAGAGGATCTTCTCTTTTCGTAGAAGACTAATGAAGTCGTATTTCACATTTGCAGGAATACTGTGTTTTCGTGACCAATTGAATCTAGTAATTAATTTGTTCTTCTAACCCATCAGATCAAATGGAAATCCTGCGGTCGAGGATTACTACTTTCGCTCTAACATCCAACCTAATTACCTAATAGTATTGCTGCAAGACTTCTGCCAATAATGAAACACTTTTACCATTAGCCCCCGTGATTGCAGATGTGGTGACAACACGATATCAACAAATTACCGCTCCATCAGTTGAGACGGAACTGAAGCACACTTGTATCCTCGCAGATTTCAATATCTACAATTAAATCCCATTTCATAGAAGCCCTGTTCCCCTGTACCGTAACATGAAATAATGATAAAAAATTATACCACACACAGCATAGCCTACATGCTCACCAATAAATGAAATAAGAAAACGCCAAGAAACTAGAACCACAGTTAAACATAATTCAGCAGTCGTTGTTAACGATAGCCTACGTCTAGAAAGAGCATTTTACCTTTTCACAAAAGTATTAACTGGTGAGTTGTTACCTTTATGATTTGTAAATACCACTATCATCCTCTAATTAGTTGTTTTGATGGGTTTTTTAATAAATAAATAAAAACTTTTTCTAGCCCACAAAAATCCGAATTAGCATGCAGCGAGAGGGAAAATGTAAATGGTAACCGTCGTAACTGACAGAAGCGGCATTGTAAACCATTTAAAATGTCAAACATTGTCACATGTGTATGTCCTTAACACATAAGTGTTTATTTATGTGGGGTTATTTTAATTCGGTTATTTTATTAACAATACAGAACTCTCGAATATTTGAACCGCTATAACATTCGTAGCCTAACTGACACAAGTTGCAGCTGATGTAGGCTAATCCGTTTTAAATAGCCTATAACAAGCTTATTATTATTATAACCACGATAATTTGTCATGTTGGGTTATTTTAAAAATGAGATAACAATCCAACAAACAGGGTTAAATCAGAACTCGCGGAGCCCATTTAAATTGTAACTGTCGTAACAGGAGCTTCAAATGGATTGTAACAGGTGCATGCGGTGCATTATTCTGAATTCTTTAAACGCTATCAGCCAGTCTTAGTCCTTTGTTAAGGTTCTTGACAGGTCCACGCGCCTTTTAAGCCAGTGTACAGTGAAAGTGCAGGCTTATGTCTGAGTGACTGTTGCGGAACAGGGCTCTTGTAGCGAGGCTTTTTCAGCACCACGGGGATCGAGCGACCCTGTCCATGCCGTTCCTCCCGCCGCCTGCATAATTAATCCACAAAGAACTCGTTCCATTCTCCGCCCAGCCCTCGCGCTATTGGCTGAGTGCTAATCTACTTCCTGATTTGCTGCTGTCAGTCTCGATCCAAATAAATAGTAATGTACCTGTACCAGCGTGCACAGGTTGCCAACGAAGACTACGTTTCCGCTTTTAAGGTCCTGAAGACTGGGACCAACTGAGTGATTTTGTTTGCGACACAGGCATCTAAAAAGCCTCACGGAATTGCCCGTGTTTTCTACAAAAAGTTTTGAAATGAATCTGAACTACACATCTCCGCTCCCCCAGATGCCGACTCAAAGGTCAACGTCGTTCTTCATTGAAGATATTTTACTACATAAGCCTAAACCTTTGCGAGAGGTGTTTCCCTCGCCCTTTTCAAACTCTCTTGCCTCCCGGATGCCTCTTTTAGAGTATGGATATCCCCTTATGCCTACACCGATCCTGGCTCCTCATCCGCATCATCCACTACACAAACCTGAACACCATCCGTACTTTTTCGCGTCTGGTAAGTAGCCTACGCTAAATTTAAACTCAAAGATTTACATTAAGAAATAATGCATATTATTAAGACCCTTCATATTTTTGTGCATTTAATGCATGTATTGGTGCTCACAAATTGGTGTATTTTTTTGTCAAGATATCACCGCTATAACATAAACATCTAAAAATCATTCAAATGCATGCCTACGTGCCAGTTAATATTTTAAAAAGCATTCCATAAACTGAACCCTAATTGTTTAGTTGGAAAAATAGGCCTATGCAGCAAATTAACCTAAATGTGATTCTTGTTGAAACATTTAAAGTAAAAATTATAATTTAATATGGTTCAATAAATCTAGATTGCACCAACGACAATATTTTTAAGAGTTAGAATTCGAAAGAATTAATCCTTAGTAACAGTTACGTATTTTTACAGTGAAAGGTGATAGTCGTGATATTCATAGATTAAAGAACCATGTTATTTCTCTGAGTAGGCCTAAATATAAAATAATATTAATAACTATAACAATAATAAACTATATACTATCTTTAATTGGTAGGCCTACTGTATGATTTTATTTATTAAAAATCACCTATCGATTAAAAAATAATTTAATTTCTATTAAAACGTCTTATTTTTTCTAACTTATATTGTGTTTTATTTTTTACACTTTTTTCTACTTTAAACTCATTTTAATTCACTTGGGTCCTTAAAAACGGTTGAAATAAAAACATGAAAAGTTTTCTGTAAGGCTGCAAGATATCGAAGAATTAATTAATGATTATCAATATGTTTCCCTTGCAAAAGGAATGCAGATGCCTGCGTTATTTCAGCATCATCCGGAATTACCAGGGAAGCACTGTAGACGCAGAAAGGCCAGAACAGTGTTCTCAGACTCACAGTTATCAGGACTCGAGAAAAGGTTCGAGATCCAGAGATATCTGTCCACACCCGAGCGCGTGGAACTGGCTACGGCGCTCAGTCTATCGGAAACACAGGTAATGACGTTAAATATTGTTTAAGAATCCAGACATAATTTTCAAGATCTTATATGTGTTCACATACAATTTAAACGAATCAGGAGTTTATTAAGGCATATACATCGTTTGCCTTATGCAGGTAAAGACGTGGTTTCAGAACCGGAGGATGAAGCATAAAAAACAGCTGAGGAAAACACAAGACGACCAGAAAACCCCAAATGATGTAGACAGATCGCTGGAGAACACGAGCGAGAGCGAAATGCACGAGAAAAGTACAGACGGTAAAAACGGCATGAGTCCGGACAGATACACGCTGGACGACAATGAAGATGATGTCGATATTGAAGATGACATTTGCTCTCCTGAACATTTACTTTAGTATTGTCACCCTCATGAACAAAAAAATAAATAAAATACATATTAATTTAAAAAATTTTAGATAGGAAATTATATATAGTTTCTTTTCTTTCTTTTTTTTTTTTTACATCAGTCTATACTGTTCAAGCGCTTAAGAAAATTTTTGGACAGCTGAAGGACATAAAAATAATGCGTGGTCATTCAGCATTATTATTATTATTATTATAATTTATCACAATGGTCATGGCTATGTGCACTGTAAAAAAAATTGCTGTAGTTTTGCAGCTGGTTGCCAGTAACTTACTGTAGATTTAAATTGATGTATATTTACTGGCAACAGTTTGTTCAAAGTTAAATGAACATTAAACATTAACAAGTCTTTGTCTTTACAGAATAAAATTATAAAATAACAATCTAATGCAAAGCATTCTGGGAACCAGAAATCTTCATCAACCGTTTTCTGTTTTTTTCCTTCAGATTTTGGTTCCCAGAATGCTTTGCATGAGGCTGTTATTTTAGTTTTATTCTGTAAAGATAAAGACTTGTTAATGTTTAATGTTCATTTAACTTTGAACAAACTGTTGCCAGTAATTAACATCAATTTAAAACTACAGTAAGTTACTGGCAAACAGCTGCCAGTAATACTGTAATTTCTACAGATTTTTTTTACAGTGTGACTGACGACTCTGATAATTTTTGTAAATGTGGAATTAATGGTACGTAATGTACTGACAATCTGTAAATAGATTTATGATATTTACTTGCTAAATAATCATTCAAGAAATGTAACAATTAATTTTCATTCCAATTGAAGTGTAACATTTTACATTTTCAGCACTTTCGCGGGATGATATTGGTTGTTTTGTTTGGCATGTGGACTGACATATTTATGAACTCTAAAACTGTGACTTGTCATTTGTTAAAACTAATAATGTATATAAACAATGTATATTGAGTGAATTATCTAAGACAATCCTTAAACGAGTAGCGTCTTCTTTCTTTGTGCTTTGAAAGCTTATGAATTTAATATTTCATTCAATTCATAAAAGCTGCGCGTAATCACAATTTCGAGCATTATAACACTCTTAAAATATAAAGGTTATTTATTGTCATCGATGGTTCCATGAAGAAACTTTCACATCCATGGAATCTTTCCATCGCACAAAAGGTTCTTTAAAGTGGGGTGAAAAAGTTATTTAGGTTATTAAAATGTTCTTGACAATGAGATTTTTTTAAATTTATTTTTCGTTCTTTTAAGAACCATTCACTGAAAGGTTCTTTGGGCAACCAAAAATGGTTCTTCAATGGCTGAGAAAACCCCATTTTGGAACTTTTATGTTTAAGTGAAGAGAAACGAATTAAGGGACCAATAACGAATGGTACTAATTATCACATAACAACAGTAATAATAACATTAACCAAATAAGAGTTTTGGCCGAATAAAAACAATAAGAAAGCGCATGGAATAAAATCAATCGATTTGTCAATAAACAACTGCTTGCATCATAGCTACAAAATTGCAAAAATGGCCTATTTAGCCTATCTCAGATTTTTGTTTCTCATCTATTATTGATTTAATAAGCTTTTCTTTATTATTTATACAAACTTAATACATAAATAATGGGACTGACTCACTTTAAGCAGCCTATTGTTCTCAGTGGTTCGTTTTTAACGGAATAAATCCCTGTTCTCGACCGTGCAGCAGAGATCTGAGCCTGAATGTATATGATATTTTTGTATTGTGGGTTTGGAATTGATCTTTGATCATTGGAATTGTTCTTGGACAATCGATTCACCAATTTGTCCTTTGTAAACTCACATCGTATACATTATTGACTATTCCTTCACCTATGACATGTTAAATTCAGTTTTACAATGCCTCTACTGACTTCACTGAGCTTGGTGTTATGTTATGGCCGCTTTAAATTTTCGCGATTTAAAAAAAAAGACTTGGCCTGCATTTAATTACAATTATTCTTTTAAGAAGAATTTCTGTTCGTAATTTTCATATTTCAGAGCTCGTAGCGCAGTTATCTAACCGTCGACGTTTTTACAATACTAAAGATGTGTGTGTGTGTGTGTGTGTGTGTGTGTGTGTGTGTGTGTGTGAATCTATCCACCTTGTTTTTCGCGCGGTCATTTGTAACTTGAATGTGTCTGGCTTCCGGTGTCATTTGCTTTCAGTTATGTTTACTGTACAAAAACAGCCCGTTATACTGCTTTATATTGCAATGCAAACTTTAAATTGTTATCATATTATTTTAATTTCATTATCATGAAACACACAGCACAAATATAAGTTTACCGTTTACGGCACTTTGTTCTTAGTTATTTACCAATGGGCGTGAATCGGAAGTTTCGCACGTAGGCCCTATTTGAAGAAAAGAAAAAATAGCTTACTTCCGCGTTCCAAAATAAGATGGGTAATAACAGTGATACAAAAATACAGTAGGGTACTTTCTGAGGTACCGTCCTTTGCAGACAGCGATCGCAGGTGTTGCTATGGTTACCTACTCACTCAAACCCGATTTCTGTTCGCGAAACACTGTTGACACGAACTATATGTGCGCGAACTTAGACGATGTGTAAAAATATATGATATCTTTTTAACCTTTTTGAGTTGGGATAGGTCTTGATTAGGGAGGCCATACCCACACAAACGCTCTTCAGTTTTGATTATTATTATTTTTTTAATCTTTATAGGCTAATCGTCTTAAAGCCTACTTTAAGACTCAACAGGTGTCCTTAAATAACCAAACATGAATTTCTATTAGAAAATAAATCTAAAGCTAAATTTTTTTAATAAAATATCTACAATGTTAACACGTGTAGCAAGGGGTTGCTCACGTTTATTTGTAGCGTTTACGGCAACAAAAAAAAAAAACTCAAAACAGGGTATGTGGCACACTTCCATCCTTTGAAAAGCAATTCATGTCGTTTTCAAAACGTGATTCTGATTTAGCCGGGGAAAATAAAGCATTGCAAGAGAATAGGCCGTGCGGAAGGTGATCAATTAAAAGATTAAGCGTTTTGCAACACATGGACGCATCTGCATGTTGCTCTAATAGCAGAGCCATCAGCTCATTTTCAGGGGCCTGCCGCCTCCTTCAGCACTGTCCACAGATCAAAGCCTGCCTCAGTCTCCCAATCCGTAAAAAGGGATGCTAATTCAACCTCCTTCATGTGCGGTTGAGAGAGACCCCTTCAATTAACTGATTTCAATGGCAGGAAACACAGAAAGAGAGAGAGGAAAAAAAGATGCAAAGAGAGTCGGTCTGGAAAGGCAACATTTCTCATTAATTCAAAAGGTCCAGCATTTATTAGCCTCGCCTCTGAGGCTTAACACTGAAAACGCAGAGTATCAAAGCAGACATGATGGGTTAAATAGAGGCTATAATCTAATTAAAATATTACATAGGAGTAAATAGCTCTTTGATAACGATCTAAAGCTTCCATTAAAGAAATAGGTGCTTGAGCTTGTTTTAGGGGGAAAATTATCACTTTAAAATACAGAAAACAAGTTTGTGGGCTCTAATAAGGGAGGCTTCAAAGTGTCATCCTTATTTGACCTATTTTTTTCTCTCGGTGAAAGAAAAGGGCAGGCGAAAGTGGATATAATCAGACTAATAGCCGGGAACTGTCAGAAAACGGCACGTTACACTGGGTTAATGGTGCATCCAGGTGTGCTTGAAGAGATTGGTGCTCTTGTGCACAGACCTATTGAAACAAGGGGAAAATAGCAGGATAATGCAAAGCCAAGAAACAAAACCCCACAGCATTTCATTCCAGATTTCTTTATATATAGAAAAATTGTTTTTGGAATTAGTCAGCAGTGGATTATGTGCTACACACCTGTTCCACTTTCAGTGCTTTGCAAATGAGCAGGATTACAAGAAGTATTAGGTATATATACAGTACACACAAAGTTAAAGCAAGGAAAAATAAGGATTCTATAGAAGTGCAGTTAACAGAACTCATGCCTGTTGCATCTTAGTGAATAAAGGCTTTAGATTAAATGGCATGAATGGTTCTGAAGCGAGCCACGGCACGTTTCTCATCCTCGTGCCGTCTCAACATCTCCAGAGTGGCCAGATGGATTGAGTCCGTTTCCTGCGGATTCTGGGGCTGCTTTCCGTTGCTGTCCTTTACCTTTGGAGGGGGTTTGGGCTTTGCAATAGTTTTGGCATATTCTAAAGCCTGGTCAAAATGAAATTGCAAAAATGATTTGAGATTGAATTTATATATATATATATATATATATATATATATATATATATAAAATCCACATGAAGGTTATAGCCACAACACAATTTAAACATTCTATTAATAATAAACAATAAAGAAATAAATTATGACATTTAAACACACGTAAACCACTCTGGATGCAAGTTATATGATTTACGAATTAAAGGGATAGTTCACCCCCCAAAAAAATCTGTCATTTCACCCTCATGTCGTTCCAAACCCGTAAGACTTTCATTCATCTTCGGAACACAAATTAAGACATTTTTGATTAAATCTGAGAGCTTTCTGTCCCTCCGTTGAAAGCTACGCAACTACCACTTTGACGCTTCAAAAAGTTCATAAAGACATCGTAAAAATAATCCATATAAACTGAACGGTTTAGTCCAAAATTTCTGAAGAGACTAGATTGCTTTATATAATGAACAGATTTAATTTAGGCTTTTATTCACATATACATCAACTCACACATCAGTTGTGGTAAACGAAAAATCAAATAGGTTAATTGTGTGTAACGCAGAACATTTGAGCTTCCGCAAGAACCAATTGACCCTTTTCACATTTCCGGGTTTTTCAGAAGCAAAGGTGCGCGTGTCAAGCAGGTTCAGTTGAGCTTCTGTTTATGTTCGCTGATCAATGTTTATATGTGAATACAAGCCTAAATTAAATCTGTCCTTCATATAAAGCGATCGTGTCTCTTTACAAAATTTGGACTAAAGAGCTCAATTCATATGGATTAGTTTTACGATCTCTTTATAAACTGTTTTAAGGCGTCAAATTGTCAGTTGAGTAGCCGCAAACGGAGGGACAGAAAGCTCTCAGATTTCATCAAAAACATGTTCAATAGTGTTCCGAAGATGAACGAACGTCTTACGGGTTTGGAACGACATGAGGGTGAGCAATTAATGAGAGAATTATAATTTTTGGGTGAACCATCTCTTTAAGTAAAGCTCATGTTTTCATAATGAGATTCTCCTATACCTTCATCCTGGGAACGGTGTCCTTGTTGTCACTGCCCACTGGGTCCTTGGCTGACAGAGATGGAATCCTACTTATCTTCTTGTTCTGTTCGCGGATCACATTTGAATACAGCTTCTGTCGTCTAATTTTCTCTGCCTGACAGCAGTGAAAGAAAGAGCAGCAGAAAAGATTACAAAAGGGAGCTTTAATTACCTAAGCCATTTCTCCCCTAAGGCCCCTCTGTTTCTTTGTACATCCATCCATGAAGCTACTCAACAGCTGCAAATAAAACTCATCATCCCTCCAGAAACAGTGTTAACACCTCTCCCAGGCTGTGAGCGGTAAAAAAACATAAACATTTTACATCAGCCGAGCTCTTCTTGCTTTTTGAGGCCTATGCTCATTAGATTAGTTGGTCCATTTCCATTGTGTTCAGAAACACAAGTCTTTTAAATTCATGAGGAAATTAATAGAGGTGGTTATTGAGACACGGCCATACTTGACAATTGGACGTAGCAATTAGGGATTAGCTAAATCAATATTCAACAAAGAGAGCACCAATTATCCATTGAGTCTCTCTCATAGAACTCCACACACAAATGATTCAGATTTAACAACATTATTTATGAATATCGTCAGATGCTTAAGTCTTTATACAATCTGAAGTGAGTATTTACCACAGCTTCTGGTATTGTGTTTGTTGGTCCAAGACCTCCAAGCTTCACCTCCTGTTTCATGTCTTTGTAGTCCTTTAGCGTATAAGCCTGAGAAGACATTTTGTAATGCATAAATATTTATACATTATCCGCATAACTGTTCTAAACAGCAAAGATATTGTGAGAAAAAGTAGGAGAAACTGTCTTGATCTTAAGGTGCACTCATGCAACAATCCACAAACAAAAGCGCTAATCAGGTCAGGCTCCTTCAGGTTCTCAAGGCTCAGCCATTGGTCATGGACACTGCAGGATGGCTGTTTTCCACTCTGATCTGCTTCCCCTTGGGCTGCCACACTAGCTGTTTTACAAATTTATCCCATAATCCTATGAGACATGATGGCGGGCACATCAAGGTGAGGAGATCAAGCTTCTCTCAGGAAAGCAATCTGTTTTATGGTGTAAGAACCGTATAATCCGGACACAGCATCAAGTGGATGTGTTCCATGACATAATGACCCTTAAATTGTGACGTCTTCATGCAGCACTGAACACTTTACTGTTATAAAATGATGTGTTATTTACTTCAAACCTGTAAAACTATCTTTTTACTGTAAAACACAAAAGAATATATTTTGAAAAAACATCTCAGTGTTTTTTAATCCATTTAGTAAAAGTTCTTTTTGTCCATACAATGAAAGTCAATGGGGTCCAAAACAATTTTGGACCCCATTGACTTTCATTGTATGGACAAATAAATGATGACAGAATTTGTATTTTTATGTGAACTATTCCTTTAACACTCCTTCAAGTGAATGGATACAACTGTTGAGTAAACTTAAATATTCTATCTGTGTAAATGGTGGCCGTCGCACGTTGCTGTTGAGTACGTCTGCTCCTAAGAGAGACTTTCCTGCAGAGCTCAAGGTGCTAGAGGACAAAGAGGCTATCATTAAATGCAAATCACCATCTTACCAGCCCTGGTCCGCACAGACGGGGGTGCTGCTTAATCACCTTATCCTCTAACGCTTTTCAATGTCGTCTTTGTGACCGTGCCTTATATCATCATCTCATTGCAATTAAGAGTGTCTTCAATTACTTATACAATTAACCTGCTGTCTGAATTGGCCCACACAATAATCGTTACATCTGCACCAGGCCCCATTGAGATACTGTCATGGCAACTTAAAGATGGTTACTAAGTATAAACAGGACGTTGTAGTCATTGAGCAATTTGTTTTGCTATATTGCTAATTATTACAAAAATTGTGCCATGTGGGTTTAAATCAGTTTTTTTTTTAAATGATGATTCCTTTGCTGTGTATCATTTAATTTATTTACACTGTGAAACAATATATCAATATATTATAAATGGAATTTTATATTTGAACATTTTTAAATATTTCAAATTTATTTGAAACCCGGTTTTTAGCTAAGTAGTGTCAGACTGTAAGATGCGTGTAAGGGGTGTCCAAACTGAGTCCTAGAGGGCCACTGTCCTGCAGAGTTTAGATCCATCTTGCCTTGAGGACAGTGGCCCTCCAGGAGCAGGATTGGACTAGATACATGATGCATGAACGCAAAGCACACTGATTCTTAAACTAAACACATATACACACCTTATAATTTGTTTTAGCCTTCAGCTGTCTGAGTTTTTCCATTTGTGAAAGGTAACCTTCTGAGCTGCTTCTGTGGATTGGATTCATCTGCTGCTCTGATCTATCCGAGCCGAGTTCTGTGTCGCTGCCGTTAGCTCGTCCTATAGGGGGCAGCACCGTGTAAGGAGCAGATATCTGCGTTGGGGGCACAAAGGGTCCCACGCTCTCCTCATCATTGGGCAAAAGCTCAGGTGGATAGTGGCTGGCCTCCACTTGAGGAGATGTGGGCAATTTTAGTATTGGTATCCTACAGAAACATGGAGCACATCATGAATGCCAAGGCTTTTCATTATTAAAAGTTAACACCAATAAAATCAATGTATTTAAAGCTGCAGTGTGTAATTTCTGTGGCATTAGTGGCACCAAATGGTATTAATAAATTTCAAATGATAAATAAAATGACAAAAAATATATATTGTTCAAGGTAAAAGTCCTTTTTTAAATAAATAAATACATAAATATCATTAAGATTTTGGATAGAAAATTTACTATCTGAACAAACGTTGCCTTGTCATAAAAAGGTCATTTTATATGACGTTTTAAGAGACCACACTCATGAGTGTCTGCAGGGGTCCTCTCAATTATATCATTTCCTGTTTTATGTTATTTTTTCTGCATGTTGGTTGCATAACAAGGCTTTGTTGGTGTGAAGCCATTTTGTTAAAAAAAAGAAGAAATTTTTCACAACAGTTGTATCACCCTGGCATTTTTTACTTAATGCTGGCCCAAAAAAATATTTTTAAAAACATTCTTATTAAAGAATAGGTGTACTGAAGTCATTATATGTATGAATTGCATGTGTAACGGAGGCCAGCTACTAGTCGCTTTGCGAGTAAACCTCACTCCTCTGATCTTAATAGGCGCTCTAGCGACAGACGCTAGAGGCTGCAGTCTTTAGCCTCCTTAGTGCCCGACTCTCACGCCGGAGAACCGAGTTCGAGGTCCGCACAGAGCGGGGCGAGTAAGACTCAGGTGGAGGTGTAACATTGGTGCCGTGACCCGGATGGGAGTGAGTTTTAGGGGGGTGAGTGTAACGGAGGCCAGCTAGTAGTCGCTGTGCGAGTAAACCTCACTCCTCTGATCTCAATAGGCGCTCTAGCTAGAGGCTGCAGTCTTAAGCCTCCTAGTTAGAGTGCTTGACTCTCACGCCGGAGACCCGGGTTCGAGGCCCGCACAGAGCGGGGCGAGTAGGACCCGGGTGGAGGGGTTACATTGGTGCCATGACCCGGATTGGAGTGAGGTTTAGGGGGGTGAGTGTAACGGAGGCCAGCTAGTAGTCGCTGTGCGAGTAAACCTCACTCCTCTGATCTCAATAGGCGCTCTAGCTAGAGGCTGCAGTCTTAAGCCTCCTTGTTAGAGTGCCCGACTCTCACGCCGGAGACCCGGGTCGGGTCAGAGCGGGGCGAGGGACCCGGGTGGAGGGGTTGCACATGTTTAATCCATTTTTTAATAAATTAACAGGTAGGACAAAATATGACCATCAAACATCCACATTAAGCTGGACTAAAAATGACACACCTAAGCCTTAACAACAATATAGGCTAGTGTATAGGCTAATATACTATGAATATGCATACTTAATATCGTGTTGGGATACTTGCATAAAGTATGTTTGTGGACTTGCCTGAGTCTGTTGTGATTCTTGAATGATGAATTTTCAAATGCATTGGTAAGAGGTTTCCCAGCATGCCTCTGGGGAACACTTCTGTCCACAGCGTATACCACTCCAGAGAGGGGGGCTGGGGAAGATACAACAGCGTTTGGAGCTAATCCCATCTGCCCTTCTGAATTGGGAAGCACAGAGTGATAACCTTGTTGTAAAAAGGGTGGATTAAACAGATCAGGCCTGTCCCATTGCAGTGCTTGAGAAACAAGCGTTAAAATGGTCTCTTTCTGGGAAAGATTCAGTGGCTGTGCTGGATTGGCATGTGTGTGGAGGTTTATGTTAAGGTTGACGGTTGGTGGAGCATGACTGTGAGATTGAAGTCCAGACTGGTGTTGTGGTGGATCATGGGGGTAGGCCACTGGAGTTTCCTCAGAGTCCTGCGATAGGTGATCAACGCTGATGACGTGTCTCTCTGTAAGGGGTTTAAGGTGTGCTCTGGGTTTGGATTCAGGAACCGGTGGCTTGAGCTGATCTTGGTGGTTGCTGGTTCGCTCCCTCCTCTTCGGTTCCTTCCTCTCTTTATGGCTCTGCTATAGTTAGGGGAAAAAATAAGATTGATTTAAAATCTCAAGTCAAGTCAAGTAACCTTTACTTACAATACAGATTGTTTCAGAGCACCTTCACAGTCATAAACAGGAAAATTACAGAATCACTGATGCAACCTTTATCAAATATGAGACAAATTCAAATTCCGCAGTAAAGCAGAAAGGACAAAAAGGACAATAGAGTCATTATTCCTGCTCGAGTCAGTTAAGTGTTGGTTCAGTTCATTTACTGTGAAAAGTTAATCAATTATGATGTTCAAGTTCAATTCAGCTATAAGCAGCTTTACAGAGAACAAGTGTCGTTATTCATCCCAAGTCAATTCGGTGTTGATTCAGTTCAGTTCAATAACAGTATCGATGCTGCAAAATCCATCAGTTACAAAACAAATTTGATTCAGCTATAAAACAGCTCTACAGAAGACAATAGTGCCATCATCTAGCTCAATTCCTTTCGAACTTTGTTCTCATCTGATAGTGTCAGTGCAGTGAATTTTAAACCCCAACTAAGCAAGTCAATAATCTGACCAAAGCACTGCAAATGGCTAAAGCTAAGCTAAAGCTAAGTCTGAAGGCACAAAAAGAATGAAAATAGCATAAATGAAATACTTTCCCCAAATATGATGAGGGCTCTTTAGGCAAAAACCATTTGCACAAAATAATGCCCCTTAAAAATTAAATTACAAATGCAAGCATGACAAAGGTTTTGCCAATAGTGTCCCACGCACTCTAATTCGAACTATTTCAGGGCAAGGGCTAAAAGAATTCATCATATTGAGCAGAGATATGTCCTTACATAACAGTGGCTTCACAGCTATTGTCATGAACGAGAGGAAAGAAAAGACAGGAGCATTTATATAATGTTTCTTTGTGGCGAGCCTGGCATGCATGGGGGACCGACGGACATTATTCTTGTGAGGTCTGGAGCTGTGCCTCAGCATGCAATGCCTCTGATTTAGCCAACACCAGCTTGCACCATTCTTAATGGGAAAATATTTACACTCCTCTGCTTGCCGGCATTAAGGTGACCGTTCAAGTGCTCAAAATAATGATGCTTCTCCATTCCCCCTCTTTCCTCGGCACAGGCTCCTTTTCAAGACATTTCAGAGGCTCCATTGTGCCTGAACAACTCTATCAGAAATTGCGTCCATCACAGCAGAAATGAAATCCCGGGTGACAGTGTGCCCACTGTGCAGACATTTTCATCTTGAGAGGAAGCCCTCGCAGACTGTTATGCATTAGGCCAATGTGTTGTGCCAAGCAGCCCCACCTACGTCTGCACAGATAGAGATGGATGGAATCAATAAAGTGAGCTCTACCTTTAGTTTTTGTGTTTTTTGGAGCCACATCAGCTCGGGATCCCGGACATTGTCTTGACTCTCCGGGCTACGAGTGCTGATAGTCTCGTAAGAGGTTTTCCTGGGCTGTGGGAAGAAAAGAAAGAAGGGTCAGGGGAGTGACTGCTTGATAAGCCTCCTTTTAACAATTCACCTGTTGCCATGTAGATGAAATGCTATGATTTCGCCTCACATTTTTATTCAAGTATTGACTGCAAACAACAGGGGTGAACTGTGCACCGTGAGAGCGAAACAAAGACATTCGTGAGAATGAGAAGAAATGGCTGGGCGATAAATTACATGCCGCTTTTGGTGTAAACGTGTGCTGACAGCTGTAATTTATCATCCACCTACTCAAAAACGGCGCTGACAGCCAGTCAGGTTTGTCTATAAAATTATTCGACCCTGAGTGTCTGGCAAACTTAACAATTCAATTGGCTTTTTATGATCAACTTTTTATTCCTAATTACTATCCACAGCTCCTCTGAGCCGACCCGTATGTGTCAAGAAGAGTGTTCTATTGATTCTCTTTAAAATGATTCTCTCGGAGATAAGTGTCTAGATACATCCACGTTACATCAGTGCACTCTCTCAATTTTTCTTAATGTACCCGTTCAGAGGCGGAATATCTACAGCTAATGCTGTAATGAAAATCATTTAGTAAACTTCCAGTCACTTTGGCTGCTGAGGACAATTCTCACAGATCAATGGTATTGACAGCTTGCGGCGTCCCTGAATGCATGCGGCTAATTCTGAAAGCGTGAATAGAGGAAGGTCAAAGAGACACATGCAGCAGTGAGTGGATTGAGTTGTAACATATCCATCAATAAACAGGCAGCCATGCTGGTCTATGTATTTAACGAAAGGCCATGTGCGCAAGGAACTGATTTGTGAACCACCAGCACCAGTGGTCTTCAATTAGTGGTTCCAAAAAGATGGATGGATGGATGGATGGATGGATGGATGGATGGATGGATGGATGGATGGATGGATGGATGGATGGATGGATGGATGGATGGATGGATGGATGGATGGATGGATGGATGGATGGATGGATGGATGGATGGATGGATGGATGGATGGATGGATGGATGGATGGATGGATGGATGGATGGGTGGGTGGGTGGGTGGGTGGGTGGATGGGTGGATGGATGGATGGATGGATGGGTGGATGGATGGATGGGTGGATGGGTGGATGGGTGGATGGATGGATGGATGTTCATATTTTTATACAGCAATTGCACTGTGTGAAATAAAGAATCAGAGTTGGAAATTCGAAAGTTTGGAAATCGCACCAAAAAACAGCATTGCAAAACAACGAGCAGGCAATGCGCAAATGTTCATAGCAGCGATCCTCATTATAAATGAAAATATCTATTGGAGCAAAAATGTATTGCAATATCCGTTGTTTGTCATGCTGCACGGTTAATAGGAGGCTGCGCATCCAGCTCATTTTCCTGTATCGGGCAAGTATCATTTCGAGTAGAGAGATTGAGCTGTGCTGTAACAGGTGTGTGAGTAGCAGACATCACAGACCTGCCCTTCATGTCCTCTTAGCCGCAGCAGGCCACAACCTCTGCCCCATCCACGACCACTGCCTTTTGTCTGCCATTTTAATAATCTCAATCAAATTGAGGAAATGATCAAACAAAATTGCATTTTGAGCTTCATAAGCTGTGTAATATCTATTCTGTTAAATTGGGGCCCGTAATTGCCTCTTGGGGCGAGACGTGGCACAACAAAGTCAGGCGATTGGAGCTTGCCATTTTCCTCAAGACTGGGAAACACAGCTTTTGCGATGAAGACTTCAAAGGGACGCAATTCTTGAATTGCATTTGGTTGCTATTGTGACCGCCCAGGCAATCTTGATTAGGTGTTTACACTGAGGTAGGGTATACAGTGGCAGAGAGCCGCGGAGCCTTGGTCTAGAGCTATTAAGAGATTGTACATTATGTTTCTGGCTTTGAAGTGAGGGTCTGGGGGATGACGAGGGATTGGGGCTGAGTGCAATGGCAGAAGATTGCACTGCTACTTCTGTCTTTATCAAAGGGGTCTCTGCTGGAGCTCATCATCACTCCCACACATGCCGGTAGGAAGTTGGTGCATTATGAGATTGTGTACATTTAATAACACGGCTAATTATCGGGAGTTAGGGGTTTGTGAAAGAGTAAATAGTGGCTTTTTAAAAGCCCAACAGACGCTCCCTGATAATGATGTCGAAAACTGATGGGAGCTGAGGGGCTTTTTATTCCCTTTGAAGGAAACGGGGCCAGAAAAAAAGGGCAAAAGTAAAGGCTGTGTATCAAATTTACGAGCAGGCGCTTAGCTACATAACGAACGGAAGGCATGAGGTTTTGTGCTCTCTCTCATAGTAGGCAAATGACAAAAAAAGCAAACCTTTAACCAAGTGGCCGAAGTATTATGATTGCCCTTCATGTGTTACGTTGTACTGCAAAAGCCTTGTTGTATGATAATCTGCCACGAAGAACTGATTTCTTGAAAGAATTTAGACATTCACATGTTAAAGAATTTCCAAGTCTATCATTCTAACGTAATTTTAAAAATCGATATCAATGTTCTGTGCAACAACAACAAAAATATATTTCATATCATTATTTGTGCCCAGGATGGTTTAATAATCATATTTAAATACATTCCATTAATCCTTACCTGGGGTAAAAAATTTATCTGACTGATATTTTTCAAGAACAAACAAACATTTGTTTACTCTCTTGGAATAATACAAGGAATTTCAAGTATTACAACCTGTTCACACTGAGTTATCCATATCTGTCAATCCTTTTCAGTGGCTTTTCAGATAAATCTATATAGGTTTAAGAGCATCTCTTAATCTTTTAAAATGATCTTGACTGATATTTATTTACTCTCATACAAGGCTATATGGAAAATTTCCTTTTCTTTTTGGGGAAGTTGCCACTTTTTTTTCAAGGGATGTGAAATATAAATAAACTCAAAATAAACATTTTTCAATGAGCCGTCTCTTTAAGACTTACAATGCCGCCTTGTAAATGGAACTTGACAGTGCACCATATTTCTTGGAAAGACAATGCGCTGAATTCATACCAGGGCACCGCTGGTGCATTCAGGGCACCGTCTAAAGCGGGGAGAGCTTTGCTCTGTTTACCATGTCACAATGCTAACGGCTCTTCACTATGCTAATGCAGCTGATGTGAGACATTAAGGTGGGACTGGGCTCAGATGGGCTGGGTAAGGTCTTAAATGTAGCAAATACACATGAGCCACAGTGTGCAGACAAGCCAATCCTGCCAATTATACCCTGGGCCAGGTGCACTGATAACTAAGAGCCTATTGGTAACCATGCCCCTCTGATGTTCTTAACAGCCACTGTTGTGCAGATCAACTCATAATAGGCACTACATAGACAGACATGATTCATTCTCTTCTCTCTGCTCCATCTGAACACTCTGTGTCTGCCAAATTAATTTCCGTGACACAGGCAGTGTAGTCTCCTTAAAACCAGGAGCAATGAAAACACCAAGGTCACTTATTCAGATTAAAAGATAAAGGTCAGATCATGATATGGCCTTGTTTGTCCGTTTTGTTTTGATTCACAAAAATTGTGAATATTTATATACAATCAAAAACATAAGGAATGTCTCTACTAGATACACAGAAAACTTGTTTATACTAACTCACAACTTGTGATATGCAGTTCACTTAAGTTAACTTAACTTAAATACTTAAGTGCTTGTAACTTCAGTTAACTTAAATATTTCACGGCTTCTAAAAAATATAAAATATGAATACAAAAATTAACAAAACAATAATTGTAATATAGGCCTACTACTGGAAGTAATGACAGTCATTATGTAGTTATTAAAATTAATGGTGAATGACATCAAAAAACGATAGCGATACTTCATTCAGGATATTGGGTAATTAAAAAATAATTTTATGAATGGAGTCATCATTCGCATGAAAATATCTATGGAATAACACTAGCCTTGGGCCTAAACTACCCAAAATCTGACATTGAGGACGCTGTGACAGTATCCTGTGTTAGTCCACCCTCTAGTGGTTAGCCATGAGACTTCAATTTGGTCACCAATGCTTCCAGTCAAAAAGAAGTAGTCAACATTTACAGTGGATCAAAACCTTTCATCAAAGTTATACATGAATTTTGAACAATACCCAGTCTTGTCTTAGGACAACTTTGATGAACTTTTTTGATGTTGACACTTCAAATGTTGACTGCTGTAGTATATAGTATATGGTTTAAGCTAAATTTAATCATGCAATACCTAAAGAAGAGAATAAAGAATGTCGGAAAGAAAAAAATAAACCTATTATTTTCCTTAAATGAGGGAATGTTCCAAAAATACTTACTTGCTTTGTCTCATCTGGTTTATCCTTATGCTGATGAGCTTTCAGGTAAGACCCCTGCTTATGTGTGATACCAAGAGTTGCTTTGTTACGCTCCACAATGTCTTCCTTATCTCTGACTGGCCTCAGATCAGACAGATGTCGTGATCTTGTCTTCTGGGGAGAAACTGATTTGACATTCAGATGCTTTCCATCATCCCGTGGTGTGCCTTCAGAGGACATGCAAGAACTTTTTGATTCGGGTGTATCGAGAATGTCTTCCTGTTGTGGGTGCAGGTGGAAAGGAGGTGAAGGTGGCTGGGATAAAGCATTTTCCATCTGAGCTGTGGGTGGATTACTGACAACGACATAATCTTGCCTGCTACCTAGAGCAAAGTTCTCCAAAGGTTCAATACTATCTTCAGACCCCTCAAACGAGTCGAGAGAAAGTCTCTCATTTAGCTGGTCGAAAACCTGAGCCCCTTCCTGATTCTTCCTCCAGTTTGGGTCGTAGCGCAAGTATGCGTATTCATCTTCAGGGGGAGTTTGTCTGAAATATTTCAAAAAGAGTTAAGAAGAAATAAGTCAAACACAGCTTTAAATTGAAGAGCAGGCTGGGTATGTCTCATTTAGTGCTTTCGGCATTGTCAGTAAGACAGTCTGAATGCCTCAAACAGCCATCAAAACACAAGGAAAAAAATCAGCTACACTTCTCAGCCGAAGCGAAATGGTAATAGCATGTTCTATTCTCTCGCCCCACCGTCTTCTCTTACCTCTAATGACTATGGGTCTGAAGACCACAATTTGGGGATAGTTTTGCAAATGGCTAATTCAAACATATGAAATAGGTTCAAACTACAACCTAATGTGCTCCTAGCATCATTGGATGAAAAGATCTCATTAAAATAATTAGAAGAGTGCCTCTTTGTTGTGTGCCTCTGAATAGTACAAGATGCTCTTCACATCCCATGATGCCAAATACGAGGCTGCCTGGATGCATGGCACTTCAGCCAATGAGGGCAAAGGGCAAGGAATGGCTCAGTAATGATTCCACCGACATGGTCTTGAGAATGCGCCGTGGGCTCGCAGCTGTGGCGGGGTCTTTAACATGCAAAGTCTCTCTTGTGTTAATATAAACGTGTCAGAATTAAATCCAATAGGAAACACAGACTCGTTTCATTCTGAATGCGACACTTGAGTCTCTTTAAAGACAATGTGTGCAGTAAAGAGGATGTAAACTAAATGGGTAGTTATTAGCTTCAATGATATTATGTTAAATGTTGCTGCACGCCATTCATTCGCAGGATTTCATTCTTGAGCATGAAAATATTATGAGGGAGCTGCTTCGCTTCGACAATAAAGTCTTTGTCAAGGTTCGCCATAACCATTATGAAAAAAACTGTGCATGGGGTTAAGTACCTCTTCAGCGCATCGGCTATCAGTCTGCAAAAAAATTAAAACAAACGCCTCCCGTTTTTATCCCGAGGCAGATTTTGAGTGGCGGACACAACAGTTGGGCTGGAGATGAAGGAGTGGAGACAGATGCGGTGATCCACACTTCAGATTCCAGCAATCTGTGTTCCGGCAGCGCAGAGAGCTTGTTCATTCATTGGCAACAAAGCAACTGCTTTTTAACAGACTGCTGAATGAGACCTTATTGTGGTAACGTCCTGCAAACTAAAAATCTAATTTTCCCTAAATGAGGGTACTTGTTTGGAAAGTACAAACATTAGTGGGTATTTCGGCTCAATTAAAATGCAAGCGCAAACATCATTTTCAAAGACTGTCATTATCTATTAGACATGTGAATAAAAGCTGTCAGTCATCTCGGCTGTTTGCAGAGCAGCTAAACACAAAAAACTCAGTCTTTTTTTTTTGGTGATGTCTTTCATTTAGTTTTTTCAGGTATAGACCTTATTCAGAGCAGCACCATGATAGGTATGAAAGCGAGGCTGTTAGGAATACACTTGTTTTCAGTGGCATCTGCTGTATAAAGCTTCTAAATCACTTAAAATTTACCACAGCTATAAGCAATAAGGTCTATTAGCGTTGTTTATTCAGTTTATTTTAGCAACAGAAGCTAGAAACCTGACATTCAAAACAGAGGGACATTCGATAGGCAATTCACTCTCATTGATACACGGTTCTTAGCCTACAACCAAATACATGAATGCTTGCCCTATATTATCTTTTTTAGTACATTTAAAACATTTTACCTACATTTCACATGTGAAAAATAGATCATTAGCAGATGGAAGACACAACTTAAATGAGACAGTTATGATCCTGGAAAGTCTATTGCTTGGCTCATTCTTCTGTACTTTTGACCTCTGGGTCACAGGTAACTTTAAAGGGATACTCCACCCAAAAATGAAAATTCTGTCATCATTTACTCACCCTCAAGTTGTTGCAAACCTGTATGAGTTTCTTTCTTCTGCTGAACACAAAAGAAGATATTTTGAAGAACGATTGGAACTTTGGCACCATTGACTTCCATAGTATTTTTTTTTCTACTATGGAAGTCAATGGTGCCAAACAACTGTTTGGTTCCAATCGTTCTTCAAAATATCTTCCTTTGTGTTCAGCAGAAGAAAGAAACTCATACAGGTTTGCAACAACTTGAGGGTGAGTAAATGATGACAGAATTTTCATTTTTGGGTGAAGTATCCCTTTAAAGCAGCTGACAATAAATATTAGATGTGCAACTAAAGCAAAAGGTAACTTTATTATGATCATAGACTGAATCAAAATATACAGAGGTTATCAGGTTGCTATCAGAACTGTTTCTGCTCAAGAAGAACTGAAAAAATGAAAGAACCCAATAAATTCTTTAATTTTGTCATCACCACCACACCAGAGGCCTGTTGCATGAAGCTAGTTGAACAAACTCTGAGTTTCATAGTAGGTTTAGAGTTGACAAAAGCAAACAAATACAACCTGGTTTAGATCAGGTAAACAACACTCCATTCTACGTCAACTCAGGTTTAATCCAGAGTTTGCAATTACATCGGAAGCACGTGCACCTGAAAGTGTAACGCATGCAGCGAACAGCCAATCACACGGAACATGGAGAGCATCAGTTTAATTCAATTCTCGTGAGAGCGTCAGTGCAATTCACTTCTCTGTCGAAGATTTAGAGATAGTTCTGAAAAATATCATGAATTTAAATACGTTTACAAGTCAGGAATAAACACTGTCGCTGCATTGAAAGTTTGAGAAGGTAGCTAAAAGAAAACATCAGACTACATCAATGCGTTTGATATGAGTTTAAATAATAATTTATAAAGGTCCGCAATGAGCTCAAAATAAAATACATAAGCTTAGTCATTTTAAATGCTCTGTGTTTGTTTGTGTGTGTGTGTGTGTGTATATATATATATATATATATATACACATTTAAATGCTCATTTGTATATTAATTGTCAATTCATATAATGATTATATGGATATATGAATATCAATAATAATTAACAGAAAATTACAGAGGCATGGGTGGAGTGTGACGTCGAGCTCCCCCTTTCTGAATGTTATATGGGCCTAATGGGTGGAGCTAGTATATATAACCACACCCTAACCCTACCCATAACTGTATCCCTCCAGCCCATGAGACGTCCAGAGAGGTGGAGCTGTACGTCATTTGACTCTGCAGTGGCCACCACTTGGCAAAAGACAGGCATTTTTTTCTCTCTACAATTCTTTCAGTATAAACTACTTTCATTTGGAGCACAAGATAAAGGAGGAGTGGCTTTATTGCATCAGATATAGCTATGTCACTTTGCTCACAGCTGTTTGATCTGGTTTTGGTTTGCGATCTCTAACCCAGAATAAAACCTGCTCTGGAGCAAGTTAGCCGTGTAGCATAAGTCCATGGTGATGAACACTGCTAAAAACCAATCCACCTTCTTGAGCCAGAAAAAAACAGAGTATGCTCAAACTAATCTCAAGCTTACCTGGGTAGCAACTAAAACTGGCTTCATGCAACAGGCCTCTGAGCTTTGGGAACTGGGTTTGCTTGACAGAGAGCTTATTATGACGACAGATGTATGAAACCTCTACAAAAGCATTTAGGAGTAAGGATGTTGTTTATTAAAATACAGCACCGACTTGACAAACAGCCATCAGCAATTGCGTAGCTCACAAATTACATGGATATTAACATTATGATTTTAGAATGTGTAAGGGTCACTATTCCTTGCAAACTTCAAACCATTTTTTAATCACTGTCATAATTTACAGTGATTAATAATTTACATGAATAATTTTTCATGTCATTCCAAACCTGTACCTTTATTTCTGTACCTTTATTTCTGAAGATGTTTCGAAGAATGTTGGTAACAAAACAGTTTTGGTTACTACAGACTTCCATTGTGTGGGGGGAAAAAAACTGAAATTTCTCAAAAATATCTGCTTTAGCCTATGTTCCACAGAAGAAAGAATGAAAAGACATGAGGGTGAGTAGCCTAAATGATGACAGAATTGTAATGTTTTGGGTGGACTATCCTTTTAAAAATATCCTATATATCAAATATCCAATCTAGTCTCTCAATTAATATGAGGTCATAAAACCTCCTGTATAACAATTATACTAGATGATAGCATTTTACATCACAGGAGACTGCTTGAAATGCCAGGTCAACTATTATTGGAGGTGGAAATAGCTGTTGTTTTACCTCAGTGACGCATGTTGTCCCTTCACCCGTCTTGGTTTTAGATCCAGACTATCATCAACATCAAGATGCTCTTCCTCGCTGTCAGTCTTAGCACAGTGTTGTTTGAAGTTCTCAGCAGAGAGGAGGTCACTGCACACCTGAAGCTCTCGCTGGTACTCCTTCTCCTGCACCAAACTCTCAGTATCTGACTCCAGGGAATCCCACATCAGCGGTAAATCGGGCACATTATCCCTTGGACTAGAGTCTTTGGTCATGTTAAATTTTACTTTTGACTGTTTCAGCGCCTCAGGCCCGTTGAGCTCATGATGGCGTTGTTGGTCAAAGACGATCGTCTTCATGTCGCAAAATCAACATTAGGAGTGATAAAAAAAATATTTATTTTCAGTTTAATTCAGCTAGCTAAATTACGTTACTAAGCGTTATTTTCGTTAAATGTTGAAAGTTCATCCGGTTGTTGACTGGCTGACGTTCCAATTCAGCTGTGTGTTGCCCATGTTGTTACGTGTAAAGGATTCTTAAACACTGACAATGCAAATCAATTCTGCAGCATCAAAACATTACCTCACACACAAATCCATAGATCTGCTCCAGATTTGATCATTTTTACCTGCGATCTATATCGAAAGATGAGTCGTTCATGTCAGGAAACGTTTCGTTTGCTGAACTGTTGCCGTGGAAACCTAAACGCTACGGTTGTCCGCGCATGCGCAGAACTATTTCTAGCACCCCTGACGGGACAAAAACATCTTAGCACCGTTACGAAAGACTTGAAGGTTTCTCATCAATGTAAACGAAAATCATACTTAATTTAACATGTACATACGTTAGTTAGGCTACATAAGGAAAACTCATGGAGCGTGCACTACAGCTTTTTAAACATTTTTAATACACATTCATGCCATGTGTGGTTTTTCAAGCACCAATGGCTGATTAGAGTTGAGACTTAAGTGTAAGACCTAATTTTAACAGCCAATTTGCCAAACTGAAAAATCTATACTCCATCAAATTCGAATTTATTATTTCCCCACTAATGATTACGGCAGACTGAGTTCACCAGGTAACATACAGCTAAAGGCCAGATTTTGTCAAAGCCTTTTAAGCCCATGTTGCCCTTATCACAACACTTAACCCCTTATATTTAGGGTTTAAAGAATGTAAGGTCTATCCAAATTTTAAACTTCAGCATTTCAGGTAAAAACCTTACTACACAAACAGATGTTATATCCACAAGATTTAATAAAAATACAGAGGCAGCATTGGGAATAAGTCACCATTTTATTCATTTCCTTCGAAGCATTGAGGCAGTTGGAAAAGGCTTATGAAATTCACATTTCCCAAGTCGATAAATAGGTTGTGCAATCTAGGTAGAAAATCTGTTCCCTGTGATCTGGAAATGTAATCCCTTAATCCCCCATTTTTTATTAATTATAACAATCACTCTGAAAGTTGAAGTAATCTAAAAGCCACAAAAGTAACATTTTAGAGTCATCCAACTACAGAGGGCAACAGTAAACATTGCTATGGAGGTAGCAATAGTAGCTTTGGAATGGCTTAGTCGACCTCCTCAATGGTTGGGCCGGAGGATCCACCTCCTGGAGCAGCGCCGGCTCCAGGGAAGCCACCGGGCATACCCTCAGGCATTCCACCGGGCATGCCTCCAGCACTCTGGTACAGCTTGGTGATGATGGGGTTACATACTTTCTCCAGCTCCTTCTGCTGGTGCTCAAACTCCTCCCTCTCAGCAGTCTGAAAGTTTTCAAACAGTTGCAAAGTCATTTTGGGTATGCCAATGCAAGTTAAGAAGAGTAATCAAAGCCACATGATTGAACATGTCTCAACTGATGGAAAACGTACCTGGTTCTTGTCAAGCCAGCCGATGACTTCATTGCACTTGTCAAGGATCTTCTGCTTGTCCTCATCACTGATCTTGCCCTTTAGTTTCTCATCCTCAACAGTGGACTTCATGTTGAAGGCATAGGACTCCAGACCATTCTTGGTAGACACCTTGTCACGCTGCACATCATCTTCAGCCTTATACTTTTCAGCCTCCTGCACCATGCGCTCAATGTCCTCCTTGCTGAGACGACCTGAAATACATTCAGTTAACCTCTGAAGTGATGGCAAATACTCATTAAATATCTTAGTACTTTGGAGAAAGATTTACCTTTATCATTGGTGATGGTGATTTTGTTCTCCTTGCCAGTGCTCTTATCAACAGCTGAAACATTCATGATGCCGTTGGCATCAATGTCAAAGGTGACCTCAATCTGGGGAACACCACGAGGTGCAGGAGGAATTCCAGTAAGCTCAAACTTGCCCAGTAAGTTGTTATCCTTGGTCATTGCACGCTCACCCTCATAGACCTGAGCAGAGGGGAAGTTAAAACAAGACAGCAATGTTAAAAAGAGATCCAAGGGACTTGACAAGACTAAACTCATAATAGAATTACTTGGTACCCACCTGAATAAGCACACCAGGCTGGTTATCGGAGTAGGTGGTGAAAGTCTGAGTCTGTTTGGTTGGGATGGTGGTGTTACGCTTGATGAGGACGGTCATGACTCCGCCAGCTGTCTCAATTCCAAGGGACAGAGGAGTGACATCGAGCAGCAGCAAGTCCTGAACGTTCTCAGACTTGTCACCAGAGAGAATGGCAGCCTGGACAGCTGGAACAGAAGAGTGAAAAATAAGAACCTTGGGCAACTTGAGAAGGTCAGGTAGAAGTGACAAGTCGCTCAGACATCCAAGGAAGGTGCTTGGGCCATCTTTGGTTTTTCAACCTCTGGTGGAAACTACGAATGGCAAGGAATCAACTTCATCATAGCGAATGAACCATAATAAACAGCAAGAATAAAAATCGAAATAGCTCACCTGCTCCGTAGGCGACAGCCTCATCGGGGTTGATGCTCTTGTTGAGCTCTTTGCCATTGAAGTAGTCTTGGAGCAGCTTCTGGATTTTGGGAATGCGAGTGGAGCCACCAACCAGGACAATGTCATGGATCTGAGCCTTGTCCATCTTGGCGTCACGAAGGGACTTCTCAACTGGGTCCAGTGTGCCACGGAAGAGGTCAGCATTGAGCTCCTCAAAACGGGCCCTGGTGATTGAGGTATAGAAATCGATGCCCTCATAGAGGGAGTCGATTTCAATACTGGCCTGAGTGCTGGAGGAGAGGGTACGCTTGGCCCTCTCGCAGGCGGTGCGGAGACGGCGAACGGCTCTCTTGTTGTCGCTGATGTCCTTTTTGTGCTTGCGCTTGAACTCTGTGATGAAGTGGTTCACCATGCGGTTGTCAAAGTCTTCTCCACCCAAGTGAGTGTCTCCAGCAGTAGATTTTACCTCGAATATGCCATCCTCAATGGTGAGGATGGACACATCGAAGGTGCCACCACCAAGATCGAAGATGAGGACATTCCTCTCAGCACCAACCTGGAAAGAGGAATAAAATACTAAGTATCTGCACACCCATCAATAAGCTGTACAACACTTAGAATAAAACGTCGCTCAGACATCCAAGGAAGGTTCTTGGGCCATCTTTGGTTTTTCAACCTCTGGTGGAAACTACGAATGGCAAGGAATCAACTTCATCATAGCGAACTTAAGCTAAAAAGAACTGAATGAGGTCACCAGTTAATAAAGCTACTTTGACAAAGTTTAACTAACCTTTTTGTCCAAACCGTAAGCAATAGCAGCAGCAGTTGGTTCATTGATGATACGCAGAACATTCAAGCCAGAGATGGTTCCAGCATCCTTGGTGGCCTGTCGCTGAGAGTCGTTGAAATAAGCAGGCACGGTGACCACAGCGTTGGATACAGTCTGCAAGGAGAGTGCAAGTTAAGATGCTAGTTGCCACTTGAAACAAAAGGCAATATTAACTACAGCATTGTGCATGTCGCTCAGACATCCAAGGAAGGTGCTTGGGCCATCTTCGGTTTTTCAACCTCTGGTGGAAACTACGAATGGCAAGGAATCAACTTCATCATAGCGAAACACATCAAGTCAAAGGGGAGTTCAATAGAGCTACTTGACAACTGAATGATTGCTCACCTTTCCCAGGTAGGCTTCAGCAATTTCCTTCATCTTGGTGAGGACCATGGAGGAAATCTCCTCAGGGTAGAAGCTCTTGGTCTCACCCTTGTATTCAACCTGGACCTTGGGACGGGTATTGTCATTGATGACATTAAAAGGCCAGTGCTTCATGTCAGACTGAACAACACCATCATCGAACCTGCGGCCAATCAGACGCTTGGCATCTGTAGGAGAACAAGATATAGGTACAGGTTTAGGACATAGAGTTTTGACTAATTAAATCCCATACAACATCTTTGCAAGGATTTCGCTCAGACATCCAAGGAAGGTGCTTGGCCCATCTTTGGTTTTTCAACCTCTGGTGGAAACTACGAATGGCAAGGAATCAACTTCATCACAGCGAATCATTTTTTTAAATTAATTTTTATAAAGTGACTACTTACCAAAGACCGTGTTGGTGGGGTTCATAGCGACCTGGTTTTTCGCAGCATCTCCAATCAATCTCTCTGAATCTGTGAATGCTACATAGCTTGGAGTGGTTCTGTTTCCTTGGTCATTAGCGATGATTTCAACTTTTCCATGTTGGAAGACACCTACACAGGAGTAGGTGGTCCCGAGATCAATACCAACAGCTGGTCCCTTGGACATTGTGTCTGAAAAAAAAAAAAAAGTGGCGAGTTGAGTCAGGTGCTTTCAAGTACAAAAAGAGAAAGTGATCCAGACCTCTTTGATTAGCCAACACTACTGCTGTGAAACCACATAATGCCAAGCCCAGGCCGGGAGCACATGCGGATATGCGTCAGACCACGTGGTTTGAGCTTCTAGAATATTCTATAGTCAAACACTAAATCGATTCAAAATGCAGTTTCAAACCTTTTCGGTTACGGTGCTAAATGAAAGCACGAACATTTAAATAAAGATAAACCGGTATTGTGTGACCATGTAAATCTAATCAAAGATTAAGGTCGGTTGAGGCGCGTGGTAAGATTACACGAGGTGCCAGCTGCAATTTAAATTTAACGTATTGTTCTCTCGAGTATTTGCCTGTAGCAATTAAAATGAGTAGCTTAATCTATCAGACTTTAAATTTTCTTCGAAAACGAACTAGAGTGAATACTAAAAAGCAGATTAGGTAACGTTAAGAGAAACTACTCGTGATATGCAATATGCAACTCAACGGCACTAAATACAAATAAACAACACTAACGGAAACATTATTAACGGTTCAGCATACATGGAAACATCATCGATATAAAACAAAATAAAAACTACATTTAGCTCTCTAAAAATCACATTTTATAACAAACCAGTGGTAACGCGGTGCAAGCAGAGAAGCGCTTTTTTCTGTGACATTGTAAATACAATATAATCGAGAAAGGGAGAACAAAGACCTTACCAAGCTGGAAATTACAGAGATGAGTGAAGATGCCGGTTGGAGAGCTGGAATGGCGACTAACTGCCTCGCCTTGCTTCGGTAAGAGAGAATGATCGAACGTTCTAGAACAGCATTTATTGCCGGTAGCTGAGCCAATGAGATTTCAAATAACTAGACTTCAACCCCTAAGCACCAATGTAAAATCGTAATACTTCGTGTAGCCACGCCCATTGAGGAAGAACCCAGGATAAACCCAAAACTGGTTAGAAAAAAATCCATACCATCCCCCTCAGGTTTGCCGCAATCGATGTCAATGCGGAACAGTTTGTCCTGCTGTACATATATGAACGAAATTCACTAGAAATGCGACGATGATACAGCAAAACACAAAGGCGTTGCCTAGATTACGCTAAGATTAAGCACATAAATAAAATGTATCAATAAAAAATATATAGGCAAATTATCTTGAAATGACCTTTGTTTGGAACATGAGGTCTTGTCTAGTAAAGTAAGTTATATCACTCGTTACATACCAGTCCAGTTTGTAATAGAGATCGAATTATCGGATTTTCTTTTAACAACACGCATAAAGCACATGTTAGATACTCTTTTACAATGGATTGGTAATACTCTGCTCCACTGTATATCACATGAGGAGCTGAACACACAACACCGACTGAAACCTGAGCCCTGATTGATCTTGGGTTTGGGGCAGTGTCAAATATTTGTTTATTAAATAATATTATATGATCGAGAAACGGGATATGAAGGAAACTAAATGAGAACAGGAAAGTAAACGAATCAGAGAGAGAAAAAACTATTGCATAATAGCCCAGTAGGTGGCGATACGAACGAACAATTCGAATCACCAAAACAAGGAAGTGTCTTTCATGGAATTCACTAAACACAGAAAAGTCACATACTAGGTGCCAAAAATCCTAATATTTAGTGAGTATATGTTTTTTTTTTGTCTAAAACAATACAGAAGAGGAAGTTACATCAAAAACTGAGCAATTTATATCCATATATCACATGCTAGAAGATTCACCAAGCATAGCATTCACATGTTACATAAAATAGAGTTTTATTTAATACAAAAACAGTTCATTTAATTTTTCATTCATATTGACTTTTGAAACAGGGAGAGCAGCAGCCATTTCAGGTATAAAAAAAGACCAATTTTTTATATATATCCTATATGTTGAAACGTCATGCAGTCTTTTCCAATTTTGATCATGGGAACATGATCAAAAGTTAAAGTTATTAAACTGTAAATAACACATAATAAAACACTTCTTTACATTCAGTATAAAAATAATGTTAACCAGCAACAATGTAAATACAGAATAGCTAACAGTATATACAAAAGCCTATATTTATCATCTTTTCTTTTTCCAAAAATAGGCTTAGTGAGCACCATTGTTCATAACAGAACTGCAAAATTAGTTCAATCTCTGATGAGGATTCAGATACAGCTGAATTTCCCTCTAAAGTTCAGTCTCCTTGACACAAGCTCCGTCAAGTTTGTTACAAGCTGTTCTTGAACTGTCTTGTGTTTCAGTGATCACATCTACTGTAGCTATACCATTTTCTGTATTCTGTGGCGTTTCTTCCACTCTGTATTCTGTGAAATTTGAGTTCCAAAAGCCTAGAAAGAAAATTAAGAGAAATATGAAAAATTAGTAGGCCTAGTTTGCAAAGACAGCTTGTGTGTTTGATTAGATAGTTTAAGTGGTTATACCTTGTCTTCTCCTCCCCTGGGATTGCTTTTCTTCATGACTGGCTTTTGATTTGCTGCTTTCCACAGACTGGTCTGATTCTTCATTCTCTGTTATAAAATCAGATTAAAATGAAAAACTGTATCCAGAATTGAATCACAGCTAAACCCTAGAATATAAGTTAAGCATAAATTAAAGTTAAAATATATAAATAATCTTATAATACCTTTTTTCCAGGCTATATGTGCCCTTCGCAGTCTGATCACAAAGAAGATGACTACAATAAGTAAACATATGATAAGGCTTGTGACCAGCAGGATCAGCAGTGGTGAGCTTTCCTTATGATTGTATTGTTTGTCTTGGTCCCCTATGTCAAAGCCTGCAAATACACAAAGTAATATAATTATCATCATATTATTAGGATAGCATCACAAAGGCATAAGAAAAAGTCTCTTTTTAGCACTGCAATAATTACATGTTGCTTTGATTTTAATTTGGACTTGCAATTAGCAATCATTTATGTGAGAACAAGGTGGAAATTTTGTCTTGCTGGCTTGACAATGAAGCATTTTATTTTTTTATGAGCTTCACACCTGAGTTGGTGCCATTTTTGGTCATGAATCCTTCGGGTGATATGGACTCCGAAGAGTTTATGTTCTGTGCTGAAATGCAAAGGTAGATTTGAGATTAATTTTACAACATAAAATAAGCAGGACATTAATGGTATATTATGTTCAATATGTCATGTTAATATGAAATGAATTTAATAACACTTACTTGTCAAGTTTATATCTGTTGAAGTAGAATGTTCCTCTACTAAAAGAGATCACAAAGCAAATTGATTAATCACAAAGCACAAATACTGAAGTTGACTGAAATACTGAAAAACACACATCAACTTTTACATGAAATTGTAATATTGTTAATAAGTGTTTTATCATGCAAAATTGCATAATTTACCTTGTCTGTGGTTTGAGGTAGTGCTGTCTCCTGTTGGGGGCACTTCAGTATTTTCTGACGACAATTCCATGTGCGCTGTGATCAGATGGTGTATTTGTTAATCAGTTGTGAGGTATCAAATTTAAACATCAAAAAGGTATGATAAGCAGTAATACTGCCTAGAAGTGACTGTGTGCATACTGCAATAGCTACCAGTAGGCGGAGGCAGAGAGTTACAAGGAGCAGAAGCAATTTCTATTACCAGTGTGTGGTTTTATGTGAAGCCCTCGCACAGAAGGGGGTTTTGCTTTTATTTTTCTCTGAGCTGTATTTAAAATATTCTGTCATTCGCTATCCTAGTTTATGTAGTGTAATTGGTGTGATATCACATATTGCATTACTTGTCCAAACACATGAAATTAAGTGAAACACTCACCGGTACTGCTAATGGCAGGAGCAGAAGTGACTGTGGTCATTGTCTCAGTTTTTAGCACATCTCTAGTACTGGAATACCTTGATGTGGAGGCCGTAACAGCTATGTGAAGACACAAAAAAAACATTCACTGTTGACTGTTTGCTTGTAAGAATCTGACTTTTTAAAGTATTTGTTAATTAGTTAGTGTGTCTATTCTGGATGGGGAACACAGCCTGTTTTGTTCAAAGAAATAGCTGACTTCCCTTACATCATGTGATTGATCACTCTAATGTGGACCACACATTCACTTAAATAGGAAACTACCAAATACTCCGAAGTGTAGATTAACTTTCCCTGTGCAGCACAGCCAAACAAAATCCCCTAATATTTCATTTCCCTTTTCTAATAATGGCTAATGTCATATATGGCAAAATGCTCCTATTTTTGGTCACATCACATGCTTGGGATATCAGTGGTGGTGGTGAGGTGTAAGCACATATGGCGGAACTGGTTTTATGTACTGAAACTGGTTATATGTACCATTTGTGGTACTTACAGTGATTTTCAATGATGATAAAATCCAGCACTTGTTTTGGGAGATCTTTGTGTTTTGCCATGCACATCACCGTTGCTTTCCTGATATGAGTTTTGATTGTTAAGATGCTAACTGCCAGTGACCTGTTGGATCTTCCCTCTCGCAAGGTATTGGGTAGAGCTGTTAGGGCAAAACAGGGCATATTCAGTAATCTGTGATTTTTAATTCAACTATGAGAAACACCCTAAATTTACTATTGATAGTAGGCCTACCATTGTTTCATTTATCCTTAGCTGACCTGCTTCAGAATATTGTGGTTCCTCTATTTTTCACGAGGTATAGTTTCACAGTGTGTGAAATGTCAGAAGGCATGGGAATTTATTTGTCAATATATCTAGACTGTTTCACAGTATGTCTGGGGGTTATATTTTGTAATGTTTTTTTAAAAGAAGTGTCTTATGCTCACCAAGCCTGCAGTCTAATATGCTGATTTGGTGCTCATTATTTCTTTTTATTATCAGCGTTAAAAACAGCTGTGCTGCTTAATATTTTTGTGGAAATTGTGATTTTTTTTTTTTGGATTCTTAGATGAATAGAAAGTTTAAAAGAACAGCATTTATTTAAAAGAGAAATCTTTTGTACCATTATCGATGTCTTTACTGCCACAATTTAAAGCATTCATGCTGATTAGAAGTATTAATTTCTTTTATATATATATACACACACACACACACACACACACACACACACATTACCGGTCAAACGTTTGGAAACTAACTAACCCCCCTAACTGTCTGCCCACTCAGACTGAGACACTTCTCGTAACTTACCTTCAATTTCAACCCCATTGATTCGCCAAGAGAGTTCAGGTGGGTTGCCATTCGCTGCCACTGAACATTTGAGGATTACTTTATCTTCATACTCAGCCATATCTATTTTGGGGGTTCCTGTGACCAGATCAAAAAAGAGTCTAATTTTATATTCCATTATTCATCTGCAAATCATTTTATGCATGCTTTCAGAAAAGATGAGTGATAAAATATTTATATTTACCCAGAACTTTTACTTTGAATCTTTTTGAAATGACTTTATCTTCATACAGAAGACATTTATAAAGCCCTTCATCGTCGAAGGTAATGTTAGACAGGAGTAACATATATTCAGAGTTGTTTGAAGTAAAAATGTTGCTCCTTGAATCTCGTAGACCTGTACGGGAACATGACATTAATCTTTAATGTTTCTGAAATACAACAAAGAGGAAATGTAACAGTGTTTGAAATATTTCATACACTGTTCTTGCCCTCACCTCTGATCTTGTTGAAGTACATAACATGACCATGTGGATTTCTCCACTCCATGAATGCATTCTCACTTAAATTTCTTCGTGGACATTTCAATACCAGTGTGTCTCCTTCTGCCACTGTGATATACTTTGTTGCCGAACATTCTCTTATTCCTGTTCGGAAAGGAGAGAAGTAAGTGAGAATCATCAAGTTTTAACAAAACATTCCAACCAAAGACATTGATCAAAGTTAAACATATATACAGTCGAGAGGTGGGCTAGTTTAATGGAAGAACAGTAGGTTGATAAGGGGGCAGATAAGACCGCATACACCCTACGCTCTGCTCTGACTCATGTGAGTATTCTCAGCGCTCTCGCAAGCTGCGGCTGAAAGTGAGAGGGGCTACACTTTGCATTAGAGTGACTGCTGTAAGTGGTCTTTTATTTGCTTGTGTGGTTCAATCTTGCAGCGAGAGAAAACTTGCCACTGTGACACATAAAGAGACATACTGGTGCTGGAACAGGAAACAGTGGTGTTAAAACCTTATTCACAGAGGTGTAAACATATCAAGCAGATGAAGTTCTAAATCAGGCGACATGGGGGTGTGAATATTTTTGTCCTTTTTTAGGTGTAAAATGACCCATAATGCCTAATGTGCAATTGTATGTGGGAGTTAGTAGCCTACACTAAAACCTTTACAGTTGCAATGATTAATTAAATGTAATATTCATTTTATTCACCTTTGATTTTACCTCATTTAATAATGTAATTTATTTATAATTTTTTGTGCTGTATATTCACGGATACTGTTTTTCATTATTTAGGTCCATTATTGAAAAGCTTTACATCCACTGCTGTGATGATACTGTATTCAAGAATAGTTTCCTGTTCCTACAACCACAAGGTGAGTACACGTAAAAACTAAAGTTATATCATTTAACCCAATCTATAGTAATAAATGAAACGAGTTGCACAATGACTGTTAAAATCATGTAGAAATCTATCAAATGCCATCGTACAATAAAACAATGAAAGCACTAACACATCGGACAACGTAACCTATCCAAACATAACACATGCCCATGCAAACTACCTGCAGGTAACAGGTAAATACATCCACAATGCCACTTTTTTAAGTCAGAGATATAGCCTAAACCGTTGCAAATAAGAAATATGTTTGTCTCACCTCCTACAATCAACATCAGAATGTGAATAACAAAGCCGGTTTTGATCTCCATACTGCACGCTCTTGAACTCTGAAGCTCACTTCCTCTGCTTAGACTCTTTTAAAGAGAGTGGCTTCCATGACATCATGAGATGTCATGGTCTTTTCCCCTGTGCTAATTTATGTGTGAAGTTTCAGGGGCATTTCGGCCAGAGGTTGGTTCTCATTTAGAAAATTCACACTTGCCCCCTTTTGACCTATTAAGTTCTCATCTATTCAGTCATATTACCGTATATGTCTAATTCAGACTTAAATTCTGTCTGGCCTCAGTTTTCCTACTTAACAATTTCATAATATGTGAATGTTCAAATAATAATAATATAATATAATATTTCAAAAGTTTGGGGATTTTTTTAAAGAAACTTTTAGACTTTTACTTAGCAAGGGCACATTCATTTAATCAAAGGTAGCAGAAACATTTATAGTGCGACAAAAGATTTCTATTTCAAATAAATGCTGTTCTCAATCAAAAAATCCTGAAATAAATGCCTCACAGTTAAATATATTAAGCATAACGACATTTCAACATTGATGATAATAATAAGAAATGTTACTTGAGCACTAAATATGCACTAAAAATTACTTGAGCACAGCATATTATGATTTATGAAGGATCAAGTGACACTGAAGACTGAAGTAATGATGCTGAAAAGGCAGCTTTGCCATCACAGGTACTACATTTTAAAATATATTTAAAGTTATTTTAAATTGTAGTGTTTCACAGTATTACTGACCCCAAACGTTTGAATGGTACATAGCATAATATAATATATTACTGTAATACACTTAAGTCTCTCAAAGATCTTCATCAGTTTCAATAACCTTCCTCAGTTGTGATGATTCATCTCTACACTGGCCATCTCTTGACTTTGGCAGAATATTTCAGTGTTGAAAATCTGGAAATTCAAAATGTATTTTAAATTTGGGAATAAGTTTTTTAATAGAATGATTTATTTTATTTAAAAGTAACCATTCTATTTATTTATATACTTTTTGTTAGATGTATTTCTTTGTAATCCTGTAGATTTTGTACTATTTCTTCACAAAGTTTGTGTTTATATCTGGATATTTATGTGAATAAATTATTCAGATTTTATTGGTCACCATTAGCATAAGCATCTATTGTTGTTGGATGGTCGAAAAAATATATTTTTAATCTATGACAGCACCCTGACAGCGTCACTACAAGTGTCATCACTGTTACACAAAAACGCTCAACAACTGGGCAGGAACAGGAAGGTCTTTATTTGCAAGGGGAAAAAAATCACACAATCAAATTTACACCATGACCACTTCACCACACAGGCACAAAAAAAAAAAAAACACTTCCCCATTTCCATACACAATCTATAGAGGACATGTCACACGTTATAACCAGTGTTGGGGAAAAGTAATGTGTTACAATATTGCATTACTCCCTTAAAAAGTAACTTTTTTAGAAAAGTAATGTGTTACGTTACTTTTGCGTTACTTTTTTTCCACCTGGGCTGGGCTTGTTTTTTTATACCAAAAAAGATATATTTTTGGCCAAATGTAAAGACCCTTTCACACCAAAAGTGAAATAATAAGCCTCAGACTGAAGGAAATGCAGATTTACTCCTGTACAGTAGAGTACAGTAGTGTTCAGTAGAGGACGCCGCTCAAACAAACCTTTCAGCTGCTGCTGTTCTGGGTAACAGAAGAAAAGGATGCAGGAGAAACAAATGTAACACTTACTTTACCAATAAAAACATATAAAAAAATCTAGTCATTTTTGCTTATTGTTTAACTGAAAAATCGGAGGTCAGAAGCAAGTACTTTGGTCAATAAAGATTAAATGCATAAAAATGTATGTTTTATTTAACATATTTAGGTATTGGAGGTTTGCATAGTGTTCTGATTCTGCATTTCACTGATTTTATTCATTTTGAGGAATATTGAATCTTTTTTGTGCAAGTGAGATGAGTAAATCCACGCTTACATTTAATCTAGAACTATAATAATAACCATCATGTTTACACACAACGCCTCTGCACTTCGATTTGTCTCAACATTAGGACAGAAGAGCAGTAAGTCAATAAAGGGGAAAACAAAGTAACTTGCGTTACTTATTAGAAAAAGTAACTCAGATATTTTGTTGTAAATTTTAAAAGTAATGCGTTACTTTACTAGTTACTTGAAAAAGTAATCTGATTACGTAACTCAAGTTACTTGTAATGAGTTACCCCCAACGCTGGTTATAACTTAGCTCACATATTGTTACAGGCATAATTGACATACCTACTTTATATCTGCATGTTCATTAAGTAGCCTATAATACATATTCTATATTGTATTCCAGCCAGTAGTTTTGTAGGTTCTGCCACCAAGGGCCGGTTCACGCAATGCCGGTCTGCTATGAGTAAAATAAATAATTTTCTGGTTAGGACACTATATGACATTGTAGGGCTGAGCAAATATGACCATTGTGCCACGTTTAATTCACATGTATACCTTTTAACGATATACATGTGAATTAAACGTGGCACAATGGCCTTCATCATCACAGTATGCTAATGCCTATCTAGTGCAAGGGATTTCATCAAAACGCTGATTGAGGAGGACTGCTGGGACACTCCAGGCACAGGATGGTTCTGTCGGGAGAGACAGTGTCATTTGCACCTCAATGACACGTCTGTACTATTTGTTTCACAGGACATATGCTTTCAACTACATTCTGTTTATTTACTAGTGTGTTCTTTTATGTAACTGCCATGTTTGGTCTCATCTGACAGCTTGTAAACTGAAATGAATGGTGGTGAACTTAATAGAGATATTAAAGTATCCTAATGTACAATCTAGGTACTATTGGTTAAACATGCATTGAGGAGAATATGTTAATGTTCTTCTCCCCCTCTTGATCACTACCCATTTGCCTCATCTTTTGGTTTCCTGCCAGTCTGTTTCGGTGTTGGTATTCCACTCATGTTTAACAATGCTTTGCTCAGGGTATAAGAAGGAAAGGTAACTGTTGATCTAGGAGAAAGGCTTTAACCCCGCCACTCCCACACGGATTTACTACAAGAAATACTTTTAAGGCCTCTTCTGCACAACAGTGCATTATTTGTTACAACCAAGTTTACAGTATGTTGTTCCATTCTAGCCTACTGTCTGTATATTTAAACATGTAACTTAATAAATAATAATAATACATTTCGTTATCTAACCTTTAGGTTAAATCCTACGTTTTCCTATCAGTTCTAAGAAAGACTTTTACCTTTAAAAAATAAGAGGTTAAAGATTAACAACAACTTTAATGGAGTCAGATTAATTATATTGGAGTCAGATAAATATTTGAATTATACATGTCATCCTTCAACTGCCTTTTGTTCCAATTATTGGTTCAAACTAGTTCAGTCTTACAACATGAGTGGCCAACATGAAGTCCACTACTAGTGAATGAGATACTGGGGGCCAATAAGAGTTTCTTACCAAGAATTATGTGGTCAGAAGAACCATGAAATCCTGAAAGCCTTATTTTAAGAAATGTCTTATGTGGTTGTTTACATGCATATTTCAGACCACTGAGAATAAATATATTTTTTTTTAGTAGATCTTGCCAGGGTTTGCAACTCTTAACATTAGAAGAACTGAAGGCATGAGGCAAAGAGACAGAAGCTGATGGAGAGCCATCTAGTGGCTGCTGATTTGAAAGAACTATCAATGAGCAAAATAACGTTAACATACGATCCTAATATATACATAGTATACATATCATATAATTTATATGTGATATCTGGAAACTAAACATTTTAGTTGGGATATCGCACAGTAAAACACATGGGCTTCCTTCTGTTTGTGAGACGAGCTCCATTTTGAATAATAATGGAATAAAACGTGTAGGCATATTCATACAACCCTAGTTCAAACGAAATATAGTGTAGGCCTATAGTGTTTTTGGGTCAACGGTGAAACCGACATTAAAAAACAATGTTCAACAAATCCTGGATGTTATTGTAAAAAGTATTTTATCCAGCAACCGTATAACCATTATTGCAGTATTGTGTTCATGTGTGATTAATGACGAGTTTGCATTTATTATAAATACATGATACAAGACAAGACATGAAATGAGCAATGACATACATGCATGCACTAAATATGTAGTCGAGACTTTTATTTTGACACGTCTTGTTAACTTGAGCTGAGTCTGACCCGGTGGTGATTCAACGCACATTAGGATATTACCAAAAACGTGCGAACTGCGAAGGCTGCTGGAAACTTCTAGCAGAACGAGAACACCACTCATTATAACAATTAATACCAGTAAACCAACAATTTAAATACTTTTAATCCACAGTACCTGACAATATGTCAGTTATTGAGGAGGAGCGCGTCCGCGGCGGCGTTTTTAAGGACATTAATGCAGACGATGAAGATCATCAACCTACAGTGATTGAGAGTTTGTGCATGAACTGTTATAAAAATGTACATATGCAGCTTTATTATTATTATTACTATTAGGTAATACATATATCAATAATTAATTTTTTTAACAAATGAATGCATTTATTTAATGTCAATTGTATTACCTGTCCAGGGAAGCACACGTCTTCTGTTTACTAAGATCCCTTTCTTCAAAGAAATCATCATCAGCTCCTTTACATGTCCACACTGTAACTGGACCAACACAGAAATCCAGTCTGCTGGCCGCATACAAGAGCAGGGTGTCCTGTACACCTTACAAGTAAAGACCAAACAGGTATGTCTTGTCTTGTTTATTATGTATAAAATAATAAACTGTTGATATGGACAGTTAACTTTGACTATAGACTGTTTTTTAGATGTCGGGAAGGTCAAGTAATAAAAATGTAATTCCCAAAATAGAGAGAGAAATCATTAATGTGTTGATACTTTAAGATACCCCAAAAAAAGCAACAAAAGTGCGTCACTCGTTTAACGTTAGTCAATTTTCAACAACGTATGAACTAATCAAAGAAAACATATGCCTAGAGCTTCTCCTAGTGGTTATTATTAGAAATTATTCTGATTAGATTGTTTTTCAACGTAATGATGGGAGCAATTTTCCATAAAATTTGTTTTCTTTTGGTCAATTTCATGCAGTTTCAAAGCAACCCAAGAGGTCATTCCACGAAATCGGTGCCTTTTCAACTTTAAAAATGTGAAAAATATAACTGTTTTAAACTGATTTTTTTCAGTACCCATTAAATTAAGACATCTTAACATGACAGGAAATTGTGTTGGGCCTTCTTAAGCTATGCCATTTATTATTTTACGACTGTTTATTTATTTCATGTGTTGATATTTTCCTCAGTCCTGTTACTGACTAAAGTCTTACTATAAATAATAATTCCAATTACAAATATGCAACAGTTTGCACATATATTAGTAGTATTTTGGTCCCTCTTTTCATTCAGACGATGTCATATTTAAAACAATTCTGTTTTATATCATAATATCCATTCAGATTACTGAAAATGTCCTATTTCAGGGACGACATCACATTACAATTAAGAAATATGTATACTTTGACAAGATATTTATTTTAAAAAGGGTCTTGTCCAAAATGCAATATAGTGCAGGTTACTATGGTGAGATCTGTTCGACTGTCAAATGTCATTTTTCTTTTAAAATATCAAATTAATGACAGTAACAGGACTGAGCTCTCAATATCCGAGAGTGTCTTCAGTCACCTGTTTGTCATTGCAGTTTATTGCATGCATTTTGGACAAGAGTCATGAACTTTTTTACTTCCATAGTTATATGGAACATTAGGCCATGATAATCTGCTTCCATATGGGAGGTAATATAGAATTATATAGAAAAATACATTCATAGAAGAAAACGTATATCTTTATTAAAACAAATCATCTTTGGACATATAAAACATGGTCTGCTCTCCATCTCATCCTCAACACCTTTTCTACCTCATTGCATTCTTCTATGCCTCTGTTTCTTTTCTTGTTCTCGGTCTCTCTTATAGGCCTACTTCTTTTTTTCCCATTGAAGATACCGTTCTATCCTCTCTGGATCCTGGTCTCTATGATCGCGATAGCGCCGTTGCTTCTCGGCTGCAGTTAATGGCATGTTACTAACAACTGTAAAAGTGTATAGCAAATTAAATGTGATGTTAATTCTATGCAAATAAGACATAAAAAAGTAAGGAGCATAAGTATACAAGTAAAAAACAGATGCCTAAACAAACAATGTTAACTAAGCATTTCGATGCTCATATGTCGCTGCTTTTAGCTCAATAACACACAAAATAACCTTTATAAATGTCTTTGTCCCTTAGTTGTTGTCCTATTCCTTAAATTGCATTTGAATGTTTTCCCCTGCAAATAACAAATACACTATATATGACTGAGTTATGCAGCTGGGCTAGAATCTATGCTCCCTTTTGCTCTGGGATGGTAACAGAACTGATGATTTGATGCTAATATGCTAATTTCTAAATAACAGGTCAAGGTCAGAAAGGCACATGGTATGTAATCTAAAAGGTTAATTCTTCTAGATATTGGTAATATTAGGATTAATAAATAATTTTTTATATGTCCACTTTAAAAAATGGTAACAGGACTGATGTTGTATGCCGACCCCTCTCTAACAACCATGATAAAACATGAAAAGTAGGACAATTAGGAAGAGAGAAACCTATCCTTGCTTACACTGTGGAATCCACTTAATCTAAATGATGTCACTTCCTTGAAACGATGTCACTTCTGGTTTGTACCATTATTTTATAGGGTTTTTTTGGTGATAGTAACAGGACTGATATGAAATTAGGGGACAATGATAAAATGACTTATATTTCTAAGAAAATATATCTATTTATGTCAAAACCATTGCTTAACAATGAGATTACACTTTAGACAATATAAAACTGTGAAAATTGGATAATTTTACCAACATTTTACAAATGAGAAGTCCTGTTGAAAAAGAACAACCATAGCGAGGGACAGGCTAAAATCCTTACCCATAGCATATAATATGTGATTTTAATTATTTAAAATGATATTTTATTGGCTTTTACTTGGTCTTATATTGATGCATATGATCTGTAGTAACATTAAGTTTTTTAAATTACACATTTATTTGTTGTTAAACCAACTTTAGAACTGATTATTTGTTAGGGACGCAAAAGGCACCGATTTCACGGAATCAAAGGGTTAGTTCACCCAAAAATGAAAATTATGTCATTAATGACTCACCCTCATGTCGTTCCAAGCCTGTAAGACCTCCGTTCATCTTCGGAACACAGTTTAAGATATTTTAGATTTAGTCCGAGAGTTTTCTGTCCCTCCATTGAAAATGTATGTACGGTATACTGTCCTTGTCCAGAAAGGAAATAAAGACATCATCAAAGTAGTCCATGTGACATCAGTGGGTTAGTTCGAATTTTTTGAAGCATCGAAAATACATTTTGGTCCAAAAATAACAAAAACTACGACTTTATTCAGCATTGTATTGTCTTCCGGTTCTGTTGTCGAGCCGCGTTCAGTGACGCTGATGACGTAAGACGCTGCTGACGTGTAATCTGGTGCGCCCGAGCTTCGTTTACAGTCTGAGGGAGACGCACGCTGTAAACAAAACAATCTTCGCAAACATGTCTAAGGATTTCGACACAGAGGAAGACTTGCATTTTTTTGCCCAGCCATATTTATTTGAACCCGAATACACGGACGCACCAGATAACACGTCAGCAGCGTATTACGTCATCAGCGTCACTGCGGACTCGTGAACGCGGATTGACAGCAGAACAATACAATACAGACAATACAATGCTGAATAAAGTCATAGTTTTTGTTATTTTTGGACCAAAATGTATTTTCGATGCTTTAAAAATTCGAACTAACCCACTGATTTCACATGGACTACTTTGATGATGTCTCTATTTCCTTTCTGGACAAGGACAGTATACCGTACATACATTTTCAATGGAGGGACAGAAAACTCTCGGACTAAATCTAAAATATCTTAAACTGTGTTCCGAAGATGAACGGAGGTCTTACAGGCTTGGGATGACATGAGGGTGAGTCATTAATGACATAATTTTCATTTTTGAGTGAACTAACCCTTTAACGAAGACGACTGTGTGTTAATCGTAAGGATGTGACACTGAACTTTTGCTTTAAATAAATGTAATAAAATAAGACAATGAATAACAAGTTCATTGTTATTTTACTATCATCGCGCTTAACACTGATAATTTGAATAACTGTAATTTGACGATCAGGTATGGTTATCTAAATCCCTAAAAATAATAGGGGTGGGTGGATGATTTGTTAGAGCTGGTCCACACTTCTCATGTAGTCCCATTTGAAGTTTCTCTTTTCCTTTTGTGCAGGACATGAATCGAGAGGTTGTAAAGTCGGACAGTGCGTCCACCAGAATTCCACAACTTGATTTTGAAATTCCTCCTTTCACACAGAAGGGCTGTAAGTTATGTATTTTCATTTTGACCTCTAACTAAAGTACAAATCTCTTATAGAAAAGTTGGTGTTCTGCTGGATTATAATGCAATTACAGCCTGTAACTCAACTTCAATTTTGTTTTATGGTGTAGTAGACTTCATCTGCAGAATGATATTTTGCAAATGATAATAAATACTGTTTGTAAATTTATCATTAATAACGTTTTGTCTTCTTTCTAATGGGTTAGCCTTGTCAACAATTGAGGGCCTTCTGGACAGAGCAGTGGCGGGTTTAGAGCAAGACCAACCTATTAGAAAGGTGGGTGTTTTATCTGTGCACCTTTTTTTAATAGCCTTGTTCATTCTGTATGTTTCATCAGGTATGTTTTATGTTTTATATTGAGAATAATTGTCTGTATATAATTATTAAGTGTTCTGTATTTTTTCCTATGTCTGTATATATTTATTTATTAAGAGTTCGGTTTATGTTCCTCTTCACATTGCAGGGAACAGATCCAGCTGTTGCTGAAAAGATAGATGAATTCATCCAGAGGCTGAAAAATCTTAAAGAAGTTGAAGAGGAATTCACGTTAGTAAGTTTTGCTGATGGTAAACTTCAGAAAGATTCCATGCGACTGACAAAAGAATGAAACAGTATTATTATCATGAACTAATGAATGCCGCATTTGTCTTCTGTCTGCAGATTATTGATGATCCATCTGGGAATAGTTTTATTGAGAACCCGTTTGTGCCTCAGAAAGACACGGCTCTCTCCGTCACGTATTACAATAGGACAGCTGAACACAACGCTGCGCTAGGAATAGAGGTGAGAAACTGCTACACAATCTGTTCTGCTGTTGACTTGAGCTAGGAGTGCAGAACTGTAAGATTACAGTTTCTTCAACTTCCACCATCTCTTTTTCAGGTAGAGGAAAAACAAGACGAAAAGACAGGCGATGATATAGATGCAATGAGAAATGAGGTATTAGTGTTTAACACTAACTGCCCAGAATGCAACGCCCCAGCCAATACAAACATGAAGCTTGTCCGTATCCTTTAAAGTACGCTAGCAAACAACATGCATTTTCAAATGTATCTTTTTGTGTTAAATTGCTAACCAAATAACAGAGGCTTTCCATGTAGATTTTTTTAATATCCTGCTTTACTAATTTATTTTAATGCAGAGAAAATGGTGGTTCAACAAATGATGGTAGCAAGTAGGGGTTGGCGATATGATCAAAATCTTATATCACGATTCTCGATATGAGACATTTTCTTTCACAATGATGTATATCATCACAATATAGTTATTTTTGCTTCAAATAGGTTTATGATATAAATTTGATACTATAAAAATTTCATAATTCTTGTCACCATTTTCAATATCACAAAAACTAATACTAGAGTCTTATTACTAATTAATGTCGTATTATGAAGCAGATGTCCCTGTATGTTTTCGCACTAAAACTCGCAGCTTTTTTATTGAGGTGGAAACAAAACTGCGCGCACAGAAACATTAATTAAAATAGAAAGCCTTGTGAAATGTATAAATAAAACCGCTTCACTACTAAAAGTTACATTATACATTGTATCTCTTGCTCTCATTAATTCATTCGTTTGAATTCATTTAAATATATGTAATCTTACCACGCAACTTTATTTCACTTCAGAATTCTACATCTAGCTGTAGATAAAATAACAAACGAAATTTACCATTATTTTCCGTTCTGTATCCGTTCAGTCAGATTTTTCACTGCAAACATCCATGATAGCTTTTCACTTGTGCATGCTGGCAAATAATCATGGCCACCCGACATGAATTATAAAATCATTTTAGTATGCCCATTCAAAACCCGAGGGCCCGATCACCAACAGAATCATTTTGGGCAGGGATTAATGTAAACACAGATATTAGATACCAGGCATGTCTAAAGTGAACAGGCAGGGCAAAAAAACGAATATGGTCAAAAGATTAGGTTTGTGTGCTTTAGGACTTGCAGTGTAAACGCAGCCCAATATACTCATGCGTTTTTCTTTCTCAACTGTTTACGTTCACTTAAAGGGATAGTTCACTTTGAAATTAATTTTTGGTATGTTTTAGGTTACCTCAAGGGCGTCCAAGATGTAGGTGTCTTTATTTCCGCAGTAGTTTCAATTTTGATATTTTTAGGTCAAACCGTTCTTGTCTGTCAGTCATATAATGCAGGCCTATGGTCACCACCTCAACGAGCATGCACAGAGAAGTCCAAATTAAACATGATTTAATGACTCGTCAATGTAAGTACACATTGATGGCCTAAGACACGAAACGAGCGGTTTGTGTGAGAAAACGAACAGTATAGGGCTGCAACAACTAATCGATAAAATCGATAATAATCGATTATGAAAATCGTTGTCAAAGAATGTCATTATCGATTAGTTGGTCTGCTTACGTCACGGGGAGCGTTTACTGGTGATTGGTTGAAACAGGCCAATCAGGATGCTCTCTGTCTTACACGCGCTTCATGAGGCACATACGCACACACGCAAGGCCTCTCTCCCTCCGCTGCTCTGCCGCACGCGCGCGCTTCACGGTTTGGAGCACAGTCTCTTCTGTCTCGCATGCGCGCTCAAATCCCGGGAGTTTGAACTAATTTGCGGGCATCAGGGAGCCGCATAAGCCGCTATCAATATGCGGGTGACTCCCAGAACTTCCGGGAGACTTGGGATGTCTGTATTTTGTCTCGAGCATCAGGTTGCGCAATCAGTTCGCTCGCAACATAAGTGATGGGTTAAAATAGTGCTACCGCAGAAATAGGTTAAATTAAAACGGTCTTTACAAAGCGAAGCACTAAATATAAAGGCAGTTAATAACAGCAGCAGTAAAAGATTGTTTTAGTCACTGTACTCAGTGGTTTTCAGCGAATGCTTGTGCACTAATGCATCATTTTTCCTGTCTTTTTAATCAAGCCTGTTAACTTGCTGCGTACTTCCATTCCGTTCTCTATGTACAGCAATTGTCTATTAAGTTTTAATTGTTTTTCAAACGCGATCTACTGTAGCTCTACGTTCACACGCTTGTTTTCAGTCTTTCTATATTTATTTTATCAATGTATCCTTATAATTCAATTAATTTTAAATAAAAATTTAATGAATTATATATTTTAGATGTTTTTAGTTTATATCTTCACATCTGAACAACATGTCTGTGTAAATTTGTTTTAACAAAAATTGTGTTAAAACAATATGTTGGATATAAATGTTTTTTTTTTTTTTTTTTTTTTACATTAATCATGGTTGTCAACTTGCCATCAGCAATTATCATTAAAAACAATGCAAATATTGATATTACTAAAACTCAATGTGTGGCTTTTGCACTTTTTAAAGTACACTTTTACACATAAATATCCTAATTTATGGATTTAGGTAACACTTTATTTTACGGTGTCCTTGTTACATGTACTTACTGTAGTAATAACAGTAAATTATGTATAATTACATGCAACTAACCCTCAACCAAATCCTAATCATACCCTATTCCTATAGTAAGTACATGTAGTTACTTAATATTACTCTGTACTTAAATATATAATTACACTGTAACAAGGACACCTTAAAATAAAGTGTAACCGGGTTTTATTTAGTCAATAAACAAAAAAATCTAATTGAATTTTTTATCCGATTAATCGATTAATCGAAAAAATAATCGTCCGATTAATCGATTATCAAAATAATCGTTAGTTGCAGCCCTAGAACAGTATTTATATAGTTTTTACCTCTTGTAACCACAGCCACGTCCAAGTGATCTGAGGGCGCGGGCGCTTCGGTCTGCGCAAGGTAAATCAGGTAAAAATGATATAAATACTCAATTCTCACACAAACCGCTCGTTTCGTGTCGTAGGCCATCAATGTGTACTTACATTTACGAGTCATGAAATCATGTTTAATTTGGACTTCTCTGTGCATGCTCGTTGAGGTGGTGACCATAGAGCTGCATTATATGACTGACAGACAAGAACGGTTTGACCTAAAAATATCAAAATTGAAACTACTGCGGAAACAAAGACACCTACATCTTGGATGCCCTTGAGGTAAGCTAAAACATACCAAAAATTAATTTCAAAGTGAACTATCCCTTTAAGACATAAATGACTGTTTACTTGCAGAGATGGTCATTTTGACAGATAGGTACCGGTATGTGTATTTACCATTCATTACCATGTGTCTCTCAGACAATGCTCAGAAACAGTCTCTGATAGCGAGCTCATATAGAGAATTGTTCTCTTTCTCTGCTTACTGTGCTTCAACGGTTTAAAATCACTTAAACCACAATGCTTAAAAACACACATTCAAATGATAAGCTTTGTGACTGCACAGCACAGCAACGTCATGTGAGCGTAACCTTGATAGTCGGCAGTCCAAAATCTTTACCGGTTAACAAATTTCTACCGGTTAATCGTGTCTACCGATATATTGCCCTCCCCTAGTACCATGGGAGCCCTTGGAGATTTTCATTTCAAGTTGTGTCTAAAATTAGCAGCGCTAAGTTGCGCTAGCATTTTAGTGTAATATTCTTTTGTGAAAATGGCACTGCATAAAATGGTGCATGGAGATATGGGTCTAACAGTTGTGGGTCATAATTTAAAGAAAGCAGTTTATTGGTCCCTTTAACCCAATTGCAGAAATTCCACACTTTAAAGAGGTCATTATAATGGCCACTAATTGCGACAGCTGTGGACATCGCACCAATGAGGTGAGAATAATAAACCATGCTATATGTTTTTTGTTTTTTTGCTGTTCTTGTATTATGGACTGGACTTTATCGTTGACTTGACATCATTAAATAGGTGAAATCAGGAGGAGCCACAGAAGAGCTGGGAACCAGAATAACTCTCCACTTAACAGACCCTTCAGATATGTCCAGAGACCTGCTGAAGGTGGGGTTGGCTCCATGTGACACTAATGTGTGCATACTTTACCTTTTCATCATTCATGTGTAATGTGTGTGTGTAACAGTCAGAGACATGTAGCGTGTTGATTCCCGAGCTGGAGTTTGAGTTGGGGATGGCGGCTGTCGGAGGGAAGTTCACTACGCTGGAAGGACTTCTCAAGGACATCAAAGATCTGGTAGGAATCAAAGCCCAGCTAACGGCTTTGGTTGTTATCCACAAACAGCCTCTTTTATGCTAATTTTATGCTTTTATGCTTATTTTAGATTGTTTCAAAAAACCCCTTCATGTGTGGAGACAGCTTTACAGCGGATAGAGCAGGGAAACTGGAGCTTTTTGGGCAAAAGATTGACAAGGTTTGAATGATATTACTAGCATTTCTGTTAATGTTCTTCACTGTTAAATGCAATGACAATATTCTCAATATGGGGTGTCTTAAAAGGAACGTATTTATAAAAAAAAATTAAGAAATAAATATAGACTTATTTTATTCAAATAATTTTGCTTTTATGTGTGAAATTGTCAAGAAATGAATGTTGTTTTCTAAATGTTTCTTAGATAATGGCGGGGGAAATGGATGTGCACGTTATTCTGGACGATCCGACAGGCAATAGTTATATTCAGGTGAGGCCAGTTAAACCTTTTTTTTTTTTAATAATACAAAATAAAACATTGTTTTATTTTTAAAGGATCTTATTAAGATATCTTATGGTTAAGCTTCAGATTTAATGTCTTCAATTGTGTGACTTTAAACATTTGGATGTATATATCTTGTTCTTTTTATGTGAAGGCTAATCACCCGACTCCTTTTTGCAGAATGTTTATGCCCCAGATCCAGATCCAGAAATGAAGATTGAAAAGTACACCAGGACCTTTGAGCAGAACGAAGACTTGGGGCTCAATGACATGAAAACCGAAGGGTACGCAGAGAAATAGGCGTAAAGTCAGAGAAAAATGGAGATTATATGTTGTTATATTCCAAATTCTGTCGAAATCATTATATAACATTATTTAATTCACTTTTACATTTATTGTAATATATCATGTAATTGCCACTTCTGAAAACCATGTTGTCTTTAAAAGCATCATTATGATTTGAGAGGGGAATTTTTTTTTTTTGGCTTGAATAAATGCAAGGTTCTTAATTTCCTTGCTGCCTGTAAAATAATTTAAGTTATGGTCATCTTGGCTATGAAGCACTTGTGTTAATTAACAATGCCACAACAAAATTGTTACAAAGTTTTTGAAGTAAATACAACTAGACACTTAATAAAGTAGTCTTAAGCACACTACAGATGTGAATTCTGTGGACGCATTTTCTTTTCCATTAAATAGGGCTGACTCATTCATAAAGGCTGTAACATAACAAGGGTTATGTTTGTACAATAAAAGAGTTTCAAATATGTTATAATATGGTGTTGATCTATTTACGCTTAACTTTGCAAAGTTCAATAAGAAATCTTATTAACAATGGCTTCAGCATGACATCAAACCCAGCACAATGCTTTAGCTAATAGATTTTATGACTGTATTGGATCATGCAGTTACACTGCTGAAGAGGAGCTCTTTAGTATGTGTTAAAGGGGTCATATAATGCCATTTTTTGTACAAGCTAGTATGATTCTTTAGGGTCTAAATTAAAAGTTTGTAATATACTTTAATTAAAAATTCTCATTAGTATTGTAAGAAAACACTTATTTTACTTGGTCAAAAACAGCTCTGTTTTCAGCACGCCGTTTCAGTGCATATGACTTTAAATGATCATGAGCTTTGCTCACCCCGCCCCTCTGTTCCGTGCATAGCAGCTACACCGTTTGTAACACAATAACCATAACGCGTTGCTCAGTATAAACGTGGGATTATGAATTATATTGAGAACATCATACATAGAAAACATGCCGTAATGTACCCTGAGTGTAAACCTTAGACGCATTCATTGTGAAGCGTGCAGCTAGCGATTTGCAAAGATTAATATAAATATCAATATAAAAGTTTGAGCAGCTTCTTAGCAAAACCAGCTTTATACTGACCCTCGTTTATAAAGCTGTCTGGTGAGAAATGATTCGCGCAAACATGAAAGCATTGACGTTGCTCGTGGGGAATATTCCCTTCGAAAACAAACTCAGCCACTGCGTCTTCAGCGGTTCGGATTCAGGAACATTAAAATGACTGTGTTCGTTATTACACCCAAGAACAGAACACCACAATCGCTTAGACGCCATTCTGCTCATAGACAGTGCTCCAGCACATCAACAATGACCGTGCCGGTCCGCGCAGACTATGATTGACAGCTCGCTTACGCTGCTGTCAATCAACAATCGTGGGAGGGGCTTCCGAGCGTGTGACGTCACAAAATCAAACGGCTCAATTTGAGGCAGGGGAAAACATATAAGGAGATTAAAACAAAAACACTGGATGGCTTTTTATCATTTTATGATGGTTGTGTACAAACACTGCCAACACACATTTCAGTACAATCAACTTGTAAAAGTGCATGTACCATTATATGACCCCTTAAATTGTTTTTTTTATATACTTGTGGTGTTTGTCATGATAAATTGATTAGTTTGATTTGTTTTTATTGATATTTGCACTTCTCTAATTAGTCAATTATTAATCCTTCAAATTGTTACTACTGGTAAATGGCACCATATTGAGTCTTTGAAGTATAGCCCCCCAAAAAGCCATTACATCATTGTCTTTTTAACAGGAAACAGCAGTGTTCACAAGTTAAGAAACATTATGGCCTGGTTTCACATACAGGGTTTAGATTAAGCCTTAGTTCAATTAGGGCATTTAAGTAGCTTTTGTAAATGTGGCTTAGAAAAAAACCCATTACTGGTGTGCATCTTAAGACAAAACAATGGCAGTGGCATATTTTAATATGTCAGTGGAAATTGCTTTCAGTTAAAACAATCAAACATGCATTTTAGTCTGGGACTAGGCTCAAGTCTTGTCTGTGAAACCGAGGGTATGTATTGTTTGTGTAACTTTCCGCCATTCTCAGAAACTGCCCAAATTGTGTAAATTAGAATACATCTAGTGGTATGAATAATTATATAATTGATAATATGGGGTTTTATTTGTGGTAGTCAGATTATTTTCTTTATTTCAGCACAATATGTGGTTATAATATTGTAAATTTAACTTTGAGTAAATATATTTGTTGCTTAGATACTTTTTTAGTGGTTTTAAGTTGTATCTGTAAAGCACAATAAGCAGCTGGTGACCAAGTAAATTATTATTGTCAATAACTCGCTGTGTGACATGTCATGGTCATGTGATGTCAACATGGTGATGCCCATGAGGAGACATTATGGCAGTGTTTTTTATCTTCAGCTCATATTTACATTATTTTAATGAGTTTTCTATTTTTAAGGATGTGTTATCAATTTCTTAATGTAAAAAAAAATAAAAAAATCAAGTGCTCTCTTTATGCTGTAGCATACTTGATACAGTTCTAATTAGAGCTTCTATTTTAGACTATGCAGCACAATGCGGCTTCGAGGAAAAACAATGAATCACGGCTTCTTTGTGCCTTCCATTGGCACTTTACATTTATTGAAACAGCATAACCACTGAACAGCAGATAAAGAACATGACTTGCATGTAATTTAAAGCGGTGACAAATAAAATGTAACCAACATTGGTCCGTATACAATAAACTACTGATGTTTGTTCACCCCGTAAATGGAGGTTCTTTAGTCCACCGTGATGGCAGGTTAAATGTCCCATGGCCATTAATAGCCAGTGGTGGTGCAGATCTCTTCTTGTGTGAGGGAGTGCGTCTGTCCAAAAGAGCAATCAACATTAGAAAAAAATAATAATAAATCAAAGTTTACAAGATGCTGCTGTCGTCTTCATTAAAACAAAACACAATATAACGCGAAGAAGGGAACATAACATAGCTTGAACTGAAACTAGCGGAGCTGCGTTTGTGTCATTGTCCGTGATCGTAAAAGGCCTGTTACTTGCTCTTGGCAGGCTTCTCGGTTTTCTTGGGCAGCAGCACTGCCTGGATGTTTGGAAGCACTCCGCCCTGCGCGATGGTAACGCCGCCTAAAAGCTTGTTGAGCTCTTCGTCGTTGCGGACAGCCAGTTGCAGGTGACGGGGGATGATTCTCGTTTTCTTGTTGTCTCGGGCTGCGTTTCCGGCCAGCTCGAGGATCTCAGCCGTTAGGTATTCCAGGACAGCGGCCAAATACACGGGGGCTCCTGCGCCTACGCGCTCAGCGTAATTTCCCTTGCGTAATAATCTGTGTACACGTCCGACTGGAAACTGAAGTCCAGCTCTGGATGAACGAGACTTGGCCTTTGCGCGGGCCTTCCCACCGGTTTTACCTCTTCCAGACATGTTTTGACAACAAAAGAACCGCCTGTTTGGCTTGTATCGTCCTGTTTAGCGTTGGTAGTCAAATGCGCTTTCGCTTGTGATGTAAGCAGGGATTGGTATATATACCCGGATGTGTGCTCTGATTGGATGGATTCACTCTACAGCAAACAGCCAATCGCCACTCAAAACTTGGTCCATGACGTTAGGAAGTCGTCCTATCGAAACCGAGACTGTGCTCACTCTTATTTGCATGCCGACTCTATAAATAAGGGCCAGTAATGTGCGCAGTTCGTTCGCATACCATAACGATTCTGTGACAGTTGAGCTTTTGTGAAAAACCTATACCATGCCTGAACCTGCGAAGTCAGCGCCCGCTCCCAAAAAGGGGTCTAAAAAAGCTGTCACCAAGACCCAGAAGAAGGGGGATAAGAAAAGGCGTAAGACCAGGAAGGAGAGTTACGCCATTTACGTGTATAAAGTACTGAAACAAGTCCACCCGGACACCGGCATCTCCTCCAAAGCTATGGGCATAATGAACTCGTTTGTAAACGACATCTTCGAGCGCATCGCCGGAGAAGCCTCGCGCCTGGCGCATTACAACAAGCGCTCCACTATCACATCCCGGGAGATCCAGACGGCCGTGCGCCTGCTCCTGCCGGGAGAGCTGGCCAAACACGCCGTGTCCGAGGGCACAAAGGCCGTGACCAAATACACCAGCTCCAAGTGAAAGTGAACCAACAAGATGGACTGGACTCTTATCCTTAAGGATGGAAGACGAAAACCATCCACTGTTGTTGTTTGATGTCCGCATGAGGGACCTCTGGTAGCTAAGTTACATCTGGAAGAGCACAGCTCTGGAAGAGCACACACACACAGTGCTTTCCATCTGTATAACACCAACATTCACCTGAGGTTGTTCATGTTTGATCGTATTTGCACGTGAACACTTGTACTGTTATGGCATATGGTCGTCATTTGTTAACTCATGCGTAAACTCAAATTACCGGAGGGAAACACTGTGGCTTTGGTTTTTATTGATCTCTTGTATAAAAATGTGCTGTTCTGTATTCATACTGGAAATAATGTCTTATGCCTGAATGTTTCTTCATAATTACCCTGCCATTTACCACAAATAAATATATTGGTTAATGGTAACAACCAGATTTGCGAGTGTTCCTGCCAAGTAATATGTAGCTTATTACTATATGGAGGACATGAAAGCATTAGAAAGGCGCGTAAAGCAGTACAAAAAATGTACAGTATTATTTATTCTAATGTTTTAAATGGAAATACACAGAATCTACGAAAGTTTACGCTGGTCTTGCGAACAGAAGTCGTAACCATAGCAACAGTAAGGCAGCTGCTGGAGTGTTGGAGGGTAACTTACATGAAGAAAACAAGCACTGTAATTATTTATTACTTTATTATAGATGTATTGCTTAATTGTAGATTTACTCATCACACGTTTCAAGGTTTATTTTATTTAAATAATCGACTGTATATAACTGAGGAACCAAAACACTATTTACTTAAATTTCTTTAAGAAGTCAGGAAATTCATATGAATGTTTGAGTATAGAATTATGAAATGACAATGATTATATAAATAAAAATGAAGTATGAAAAAGGACAATACTGAGCATTTGTGGTCTGCCCTCTCGATTTAATGTACGATATATAGGTAGGCCTATGGGACATTTTTTGCATTTCAGACTTCTGTGACATTTTGCGATTTGTAGCCATCTAAATCCTCACCCAATTCCATTTTAAAAACCCCAGGATGTGTCCTAATCAAATCAAATCAAAAGATAAAATGCAGATAACATTCATAAAAGAAATGACAGACATATAGTGCTCTAGGTGCAAGTCGTATGAGACAATCTGCAGCTTCCTAATGTGGGACACTGAAAAGTCTGATAAAAGGCCAAAATCACCTTGATTCATGTAGAATAGTAAAATCTTCTTCAGTTAGTGATTCTCTTGGTTATGGATTGATGAAACATTGATAATTGAACATCATCAGACAAATTATACAAAATAATAGTTTTGATGCATCTATTATAAAGACATTAAGCAACTATTAGGCCTGTGTTATGTAGATTGAAAAGAGTTAAATGCACAGTCAGAATTCCTGACTGTTCTCTAGTTCATTTTACAACAACAAACACATATAACCCCAACAGGCATAGGCCTATTTGAAGGCAAAACACAAAAACTTGCAAACAAATTAATAAACCAACAATCCACAGCTTAAACACACTAGAGTGCTGTGAACTGCAGTTCTGCGGGCAGAAAGCTCTCAGATTTAATCAAAAATATCTTATTTTGTGTTCCGAAGATGACCTAAGGTTTTATGGGTTTGGAACGACATGAGGGTGAGTAATTAATGACTTAATGAGTTTTTGGGTGACCAAACCCTTTAATATAAAATGAAATATTACCTTGATAGAGAGTTATCCATTGACACCAAGTGGCACACACGCCAATCATTTTGGCTCGTGGGCAAGGTGCATTTTTTTTTATTTGTAGATACATAAATAAAAAGAAATGAGTCAAGGATTATGTAGCCTATTATTATTATATTAAATGATTACATAATCATAAAACAAATGAAATAACCTTAAAATGTAATCAATTGAATAGTTTTTTATACAATTATGGTTACCCTGTGGTAATAATTTGGTTGGGAGTTAAAATTCGGCCTTTATGAGGTAATCTCGCGTTAACAGTGAAATCAGGATATTTGTACACCGTATTGTACGATTTGTCCACTGTGATTTCATCCAGCTTGTGTTACTGGGACATATAATGGAGGGAGATGGTTTGATCATGACTCCCCTGCAGGCAAAAAGAGAATGCTGAGAATAATCCACATGATCATGTTTTGACATTTGGTCTTGAATAAATGTGTGTGGCGCACATGCAAGTAACCAAATAAGAATTTGAGGAATATAATTACCTATGGTTTTTACTATGAAATTATTTTGCAAAGGAAAATTCAGTGAATCCAATTATTAGTCAGTTTGTACCATATAAAAAAATAAATGCGCATTGTCCATTTTAACCAGGGGTCTGGTTCTGCAGGTATAAAGCTGATATATTATGGTATTTGGGTCCATAAATTGTCTGGTCCAGAAGATTAAAAATGAAACCATGTGACTGAGGAACCAGATAGCCAGACAGTCAGTGTCGTAAGATCATGTAATGCAGTGTTCCTTTCTCATGTAGTTTTAAGAGGAAAAAAACTGTCTTTGTTGAAATTACACACGATGTCAGGCTTTGTTTGAAAGGGTGGGATATCTATTTCTAAAAAAGGATGAGGAGAGGACACCTTTTCTCACGAAGACGCATCTGAAACCACCTACACTAAAAAAAAAGGATATTGTGTGCGTATTTTATGAAAAATAATATGAATAGATTAGACAACTAACACCGCTGTTATTGTTGGTTTACAGTAAGAAAGGTATTATGATGCTCTTCGTTACATTCAATTAAAAATATAAATATATATATAATGTGCTGAAATAGTTATTTACATTTTGGATTGGATCATACTTTTGTGAATATGAAAGAATGTGTGTATATCCTCCAATCCTGTTATCCTATTTTTCATATACTAAATAGTTTATGTAATTTTCATATTAATTTTTTATAAAAATTTGAATGAAAAAACATTTCTATCAACAAATGAGGAGATATGACCATTAAAAAATGGACATGATATATTAGTAAAAATGTCAATATTGTGTCATTAGAATGGACCATGATTCATTAGGTCCCGTTTTGTAAACTTGACCACCTTTCATCTTCAAGTGGACATATTTGTTGCATAATGCATCATAATAGCACAGTTAAGAGCAGCGTGATAAAATGCATTTATAGAATTTAAGTCAAGGCAAAAGCCTAGTTATAGAGCTACATGAGCAGCGAGATGCTCCTAGAATTCCAGACATGTCACTTGATACTGAATTTATGGTCATAGAGCTCCTCGTGTTCCTCCTCTGGTGTCCCGAATTTCTCATAACCCCAGCTTTTTGTTTCTGGTGCCCTCCCTCACACCTATAGGTAGAAACGGGCCAGTATAAATAGCCTAGATATATCGTCATAAACACAGAGAAAAGAGACAACGAAAGAGAGAAGGTGAA